CAAAACGGCCTGTTCTTACAATCGCGATCGGCTGTGATGGTCGATTTCTGGCGGTTACATGCATCATCAACGGGTGCTCGCCTTTACGAGGTTGCATCGATGCATGCGCGTTGTTGTTGGTGGATAGATGCTGCTTCAGTCCGCGGGATAAGGTAGTTAAGATGGGCTGGGCTGCAGGTGAGACAAACATGATGCGGCTCCGTCTTCACTGCGACGAGATAAGCGACGAGGGCGAGGACATGTGTTTATTCGACAAAATGGGGTGCAGGGAAGTCAAGATTGGACGTATTACGCATTTTGCATCGTCGGGAGATCACATGGAGGATCATGCATGCAACCCTTTTCAAGACCCAAAAGGGCAATGTTTGAGATCTTTCGGCCGGCAGAGCGACTCCTGCGTTGTCTCAATGGTGGTCTTGGGGCTGGTCTCCATCGCTAACTCGCTATGGCCAATGACATATCCAAGAGAACATGATACCAAGCATCTCGAGGAGCAGTGTGACAAAGTAAGAACAAGTCAAACAGCATGCTTTTTATATATCCTACGAACCGCTTAATATCACTAACAACCTTCCCACAAATGGCCCAGTATCAACATCAAATCATTTGCCCTCGAACGGCGCCCGCATCCCTTGCTGCATGATCCTCCCTGCCGTCCTCTGCGCCCCCTCAATCACCTTCTGCTTCTGCTCCTCTGGAATCTCGGGATACAACGCCTCCAGGGGCACATCTCTTACGGTAATATCGGACTTCTCATGGGTGCCGATCTTCTGCGTCTCGACCACGCTGCCGGCGCCGTACTTGGGCTCCTGCATCACGCGCATAACGATAGCGGCACACTCGCGCGCCGTCATGTGCACGTCGTCCTTGGTCACCTTCCTGTTCCACTCGGGTTCGAAGATGGGTGTCTGTTACGAGGTTCAGTTTCAACTCTTTTGACTAACAAAAACAAGGAGACAGAAAATCTCACCAGGACGGCTCCAGGGCATATGGCAGAATACCGGATCCCGCAGATATCCCTCAGCCCGCCCATGCACTTGACGAAGCTGACGAGGCCGGCCTTGCTGGACATGTACAGTGGCGTCTCGAACGAGTGCACATAGCCGCCGACGCTCGCCACGGCGACAAAGTTGCCCTGCACATGCTTTTTCTGCGTCCAGTAGTCCGTGGCCATCTGCGCCAGCCGGATCGGCGCGACCTGGTTGACGGCGATGATGCGGTACTGGCCCACGGCCGCGTCGGCGGGGTCCCCGGACTCCGCCGAGACGCCGGGCGGGAACCAGAAGTTGCTCTCCGGGGGCTCGTAGATGCCCGCCACGGCGGCGACGATGTCGACGCGCCCGAAGAGCGCGAGGGTCGTCGCCCAGAGAGACTGCAGCTGCGCCCAGTCGGCGACGTCGGTTCGGTGAAAGTGCGCGGAGGCGGGGCCGTCGGCGGACGGAGAGGGCGGGCCGCGGTGCTGAGCGAGGGTCGCCTCGGCTTCGGGGCGGAGGCGGAGGTCGGCCATGACGACGGAGCAGCCTGCCTCGAGGAGGAGCTGGGTCAGGCTGTGGCCTATGCCGGAGCCGGCGCCGGTGACGAGGGCGACTTTGCCCTGGACTTCGTAGAAGGACATTGCTGACGAGATATGCAGTGAGAAAGAAGATGGGAACACACAGATGGCACGGAAGATGACAGGAAGTCAAGATAGAGGGGTTACCGTCTCTGGGTATTTGTAGCTCGTCGGCCTGGACTTGACCTCGCGTGGGGGGTTAAGAAGTCCATCTTCAGCAGCCATCCTGTCCTCCGCCTGCGCCTGAATGCGCCTAAATTGGCGGGTAGCCGCATCCCGGCAAGTCTTCCAGAAGTCCGGGACGCAATAAATGTGATGGGCCGTCTTGTCCTTGCTGCGCTATTTGTGCCCGTCACTTGTTCTTTCTTGAACCAACAAGCAGGTGGTGTGACCAACGCGCATCAGTCCACACCCATGTCCAGAGATTCTCGACCGGTGAGGTGCAGGGAGGATGGCAAGGAGTTGATCCCTCGAGCAGGATGGCAATCGCCTGTTGGAACTCTGCGTTTGTCCATATCGATGACGGGCGTTTCCCGAGGCATGAGAGGCCCCGTAGGTAGACATATTGATGGAGAGCTGGAGATGGACGTCCCCGCTGGAGAGTTCCCGGTTAGCGGTACGCAGAAGCTGGAGCAGCCCAAGCTGCCATGTGGTGCTAGCGAGGTTCCTCTCCACAGGACCATTCAAAAAGGCCCCGGGAAGCCCGCGAACACGGGCGTTTGCACTCTGTTGGTCCACGATTTCCCCTGGCCAACCCTGCTGATGGGCGATGTCACCCCCACCAACAGTGGCACCGTCTACTGCAGATATCCCGGGAACCAGCACCAACGACGAGATGCGCTGCTGCAGCCGTCCAGATGCGGTCTGGGTTGAGCGGTCTGCGAGCGATGTGATGGGGGAAAAGGGCCTTTGGTGCACTGCCTATGGGAAATAGCTCCCATTCTAAGGTTTATCATTGCATGTCGTCTGCTTTTTGGAGCGATGGCAGGACTCGGGACCCTCAATTACTCGAGGATGTGTTTCAGGCGGTCCCCTGCCTTTTCCTAAAGAAGTAAATGCTTTTCCCTGCTGGTCGGAATCCTTCGTCGAGGGATGTGATTTGAGAGTGGGATCACACTGATCTTGCAACGCGAGACCCGCAACTGGTAAATGAACACGATGTAGGGCGAGGTGAGTTGTGATGACAAGAAATCTCGGGCGGAGATGTTCGCTTGGGGTCTCTGGAAGCCGCTTCTTCAGCCCCCGGACCCGGACTGGAAGTGTTTACCTCGCATCACCCATCACCGCGGCCCATACCTTACACATCATCATAGTCTCATTTGAGAAATCAAACTTGATGTTACTGAAATCTACAAAAACAAGATCTACCCCGTTCTATGCAAGACACACGGTGACATGGTAGCCACGAAAGACGCCATCTAACCATATGCAAGCCTCTATTCTACCGCAACACGCCAGTCTCTACAACTACAAATCATGGCCGTCTATTTCGCAATCTCAACGCCTCCAGTGGCACCCAGAGCCTTCTTCAAATCACCATAAATCGCAAACTGTCCAGCCGTCAGCGCACCAACCATGAACAGACGTGCCGGCAGGCCGCTGAACGATCCACGGACACCGAGCTCCTTGGCGATCTTGACCAGCCTGCTCGTCGTGCTTTCTCCAGGGAGCCCCTTGGTCTTGTTAATCTTGGACAGCATGGTGTCCGCAGGCTGCGACACGATGGCCGCCGCGAAGCCCGCAATGAGGCCGGAACCAAGGTTGATCGTCGTCTGCATGCCGTCGCTCGTCTTGCTCTTGTCGAAGAAGTTGGCGTACGCGAACTCGGAGACCTTCTCGAACGCGACGAACTTGGTCATGGTGTACGGCACCTGCTTGAAGAGGATGGGCCCGAAGCCCGAGTAGAAGGCGGCGAGGCCCTCCTGGCTGGCGATCTTGGAGAAGCCGGACACGAGGCCGGAGGCGAAGCCGGGCTGCGAGACGAGGCGGATGCGCGTGGCCTCGAGCGGGCACAGGGCGATGTCGGCGAAGAACTCGGCGGCGGCGGCGGAGACGCAGTAGACGGCGATGCGGTTGGCGCGCGCGTTCTCGTAGCCGACGGTGTCGATGGACTTTTGCTTGAAGAACTCGTAGCCGCCGAATTTGAGGGCGCCCTGGAGGAAGTAGCCGGCGAACGTGGGACCGGCGCCGGTGAGGAGGGCGCCGGCGCCTTCGGTCTGGATCACCTGGCGGAACCCGCCGATGAGGCCGCGGTTGTAGGTTGCGGGGTCCAGTTGGATGCGGGTTTTGACGCTGGCGGTATGTTAATATTGCACGCTTCTGGATCGATGAGGGATTTGCGGGAGGGCATACACGTCGACGGGGGTGAGACCGCCGTGGGTGACGGAGCAGCACACGGCGCCGGCCAGGGCGAACCTCGAGTAGAGGTTGAGGCCGGAGAGCTTCTCGGGCTCGGCCTTGACGGCGGCGAGCGTCGGGGCGGCAGTCGTTCCACTCATCTTGCCGGTGTTTGACTGTGAGTGAGGGGGTGGAGGGGAGATTTCACCAAGATTCGTGAGGTGAGAAGGGAGGTGAGATGAGTCAAATGAGGCTGCGCTGAGTGGTTAAAGTGACGGTCGCCGAGCACGTGCGGGAGAAGTCACAGGGACGGCCCGCTAATTCACCGGGTACTGCAGGGGGTGTTTTGGGACTTTTGTTGTTTATCGTCGGCTATGCGTAGGTAATACGAAGAAGATAGTTGGGTACGTCAGCCCCCTGGAGTTCGGGTTGCCTGGGTCCGGGAATGGCCGGAGGAAAGCGGGTGTCACCGGGGCGAATGTCCGGGCGTTGGCGCCGGCTTTGTTTGCGGCGGGAACGGGCCTCTTCGAGGTTTCACGGTATTTCTCAACGGTCGCCTCCGAATACGTAAAGGTTACATTTGTGGAGGAGAACCCGATTGGCAAAGCTGCTCGTACCCCGCTCCGTGCGGTGAATTGGCTGCCATTGAATGCTACGCCTTCTCCGACGACAAGGTGCCGACGATAAGGTGCTAAATTCCACTCATCCCCTCCAGAGACAGCCATGCTTACATAGATCTGCGATGCTAACCTGTCCTCGTATCCTCTGAATCCTGCGCTAACCAAGCTTCGTACCACATCTCAGGGTCCGAGGGGCCGAGACAGCCACACAGTCTTCAGTAGGAAATGTTACTCTATTTCGCCCGTTAAGTCCATCTTGATGCTTCCAGTTTTTGGATTTGAGATCCAAATCGCATCGTAATAAGTCGAGCATGGTCGGCCGTAGAGATCTCCATGATCGCAATTAAGGCTTTCTAATGCCGTCCAACATGGGACAGTTTCTTTTGGATGAGAGTATAAAGCACCTTAGCCATCAACATCTTCCAGAGCAGTTCTGATATCAACCTGAAAGTCAACGAACATCATACTGAAAATATCATATTGTCTTCAATATGACTCCAATCCCATCTCAAATGCGCGCCATACACCTTCTCTCCCCTGGACGAGCAACGCTTGCCTCCCTCCCCACCCCTTCTCCACGATCAGGAGCCATACTTATCCGCATCCTAACAGTTTACGTCCAGTCCAATACTGTAGACATTCTCAACGCCTCTCATCCTCTCTATGAGCTACCATACCCGGTCGTCCCAGGCACAAACGCCATCGGCCGCGTCGCCGCACTCTCCCCCGACACTACCGCCTTCAAAGAGGGCGACCTAGTCCTTCTCGATTCCTTCATCCGGGCCCGCGATGATCCATGGAACGTACAGATCCTCTGGGGCGCAAACGCCGGTATCACGCCCGCTTCAAAGGAGTTTTTGAAGGGGAACTGGAGAGATGGGTGCATGGCGGAGTACGCCCTCGCTCCGCTTGAAAATGTACACGGGTTGGACGAGATGAGGTTGACCGATTCGCCATCAAACCACGGCCTCGGTTACACCATCCCTGAGTTGCTCTATCTCGTCTCTTGCATCATCGTGTACGGCGGTCTGAAGGGCATCGGACTCCAACCCGGGGAGAGAATCATCGTCACCCCTGCGACGGGAGCATCATCTGGCGCAGCGGTCGCCGTGGCGCATGCCATGGGCGCCAACGTAATCGCCGCCTCTCGCTCGGACTCGAAGCTTGCGACACTGAAGGCTTCGATCCCAACCTCTCCCGGCAGGCGGCCATTCGAGACGGTTGTGATGACGGATGACGTCGAAAAAGATGCTGCTGCCCTGAGAGCCTTTGGGCCTGTCGACGCGGTGATTGACATGTCACCGCCGGCGGCGACTGGATCGCAGCATATCAGGTCTGCAGTATTGGCTCTCCGAGCGTATGGTCGGGTGTCATTGATGGGAGGGCGTGCGGACGAGAGCCTGCCGTTCCCGTGGCTGACCGTTCTTGCGAATAATTTGACCATCAAGGGGCAGTTCATGTACAAGAGGAAGGACGTCAAAGAGCTAATCAACCTAGCCGAGTCGGGACTGCTGAAGATGGGGAAAGAGGCGGGGCATGAGGTGGAAGAGTTTCCTCTTGAGAAATGGGAGGCTGCGGTGGATTTTGCGGCGAAGAATGCTGGGCATGGGAAAATGACTTGCATCGTGCCGTGAGCTGCTGGATGCATGGAGAGCGGCGGGCGGAGGAATGAGGTTCCTCATAGACGCATTTTGTATCTTTCGATTCGTAACCTCGATCTCATCTTAATATGCGTGCCTTGCACTTTATCTTTTATGGACAAGTAGTGCCTGTATGTCTTCCAACTCCCTCTCCACGACCATTGGTATCCTCGCAACCTGCATCAACATCAGAGAACAGCATCAGACTACGCGGGCGAGAACACTGAATGGTTCCTAGATTCGAGATACTTATAAATCATGGCCCCAAGTGGCCTGGGGCAATGATTGGGCGAGGCTATCATCAGCACGCTCAGCCACACGAAACGCAAAGAACCGTGACAAGAACCCACCTAATCTGCAGGTGAAAGACTTGGCGTTATGTAGCTATTCGTGAAGACATCAGTTTACCCCGCCCACTTGGAAATCTCGAATTTGCCGTCAATACCTCATCCATGTGCCTTCTTACTCCATCATTGGCAGCTAGATATTCATATGGCTTTGTGTTCTCACTGCCAAACCCTCGACTTCCGCTTTGTTGGATACTATCGCCCTGAATTAGACTACCCAAGGGTCGCGCTTGCCACGGACGCTGAACTGTCAAATCAGGAGGAGCAAGAGGGAGGATCAGATTCATCAGCAACGCTCAATGTAGGCAAAAACGAAATCGACGGGGACGATCATGAGACTGTGATCGAACGCGAGCACGATGAAGAATTGTCCGCAGCTTCTGACACTAGCTCCTCTCGAGGGACCCCGGGCAACGAAGACCTTTCGCTGCGAGAAGTTCTCGATCGCGAGGACGTTTGCCTGTTTTGCAGACAGATCTCGTCTCTGTTCAGAACCTGGTCGAAAAGGTTCTGGCCGAACCCGACCAAAACGGACCTAGATAGTGGCCAAGTTTCGTTTTCCGGAGAGGGTTCCGATGTTGTGGACGAGGCTGCACATACAAGACACGATGGTACCCTCTGTGTGGCAAATGTGTCGGTTACCCTCAACCGTTGCCAGGACGGAGCTGTTATGCATTACCAGCGAACTCGGGAGCATCCACCTACCGTTACAGAGATATGCGACCAACTAGAACCGTCAAATGTTGGTGCCAAGCAAGGGAATACCTCCGTATGGCTGGATCTAGAACCATATTACGGCCGCATACGGCCGCCTGAGATCGACTTCCGTTTGCTGAGAGAATGGAAACGAATCTGCGACAACGATCATGGAGATTCGTGCGGTCTGACGTCTATCCACGCCAAGCGACGCCCCGATATGATCCGCTGCATAGACGTCGATGCAATGTGTATTGTCGAACTGCGGGATGCGGGAGCCAAGTGGGTGGCCCTGAGCTACGTCTGGGGTAAACGGACTTTCGAAGTTTTGAAGAAGGATTCTTTGGGGTCGCTGCGATGTCCTGGTGCTTTGGACCCCTCGTGGATACCTGATACAATCTTGGACGCTATCACCGTCACGCGCATGATAGGGGAGAGATACCTCTGGACCGACAGTCTCTGCATCATCCAAGACTCGCCTCAAGACAAGGCAACCTTCATCCCCCTCATGGACGTCATATACGGACTGGCCTCAATGACCATTGTCGCCCTGTCCGGAGAAGGCGCATACGACGGGCTCCCGGGAGTTCGCTCGTCGTCGCGAGCCTCGGCAGAAGGACCTTTCTTCTTGAACGGGGTGTGGCTACAGAGAGCCCCGCCCCTTGACGGGTTGGGATTCACCCCGGCGGATCGAAGTCGAAGCCGATATATGACGCGCGGGTGGACTTTCCAAGAGATATTGCTATCCCGCCGGCTGCTGATATTCACACCAGAGGTGGTGTTTTGGGAGTGTCAATCGGCTACCTGGCGCGAAGACGCCAACTGGGAGATTCTGGATCCCGTTAACCGTGGCCTCACTCTCTTTCGCAACAGTGTTTTCGGGTTTGAGCACGAGGGCATTCATGTCCCCAAGGCCGATCCGGAGTCTTTCAACCGGATGTATCAGAGCTTGGTATCTGACTATGGCCGAAGGGAGTTGACTTACGATGGAGATGGTCTAGCTGCCATCGAGGGGATTCTGGCCTCGATCGAGCTCACCAGTGGGATTGGCTTCGCCTGGGGGCTGCCGAAGCCATATCTGGGCGTGGCAATTACATGGCCGACAGACAACAATGCCAGCAGGGTCCGCAGGCGCAAAGCGACCTACATGATGGTCACCAAGCATGATACGATATATGTCCCGTACCCGAGCTGGTCATGGGTGGGGTGGATAGGCCCGAATCTGTTCGCCGACCTGTTTGGACATCTGGCGGGGGAACACGCCGGTTTGGTGTTTTACATGCTTGACGGCGAGAAGGACCGCCTCGTCGTCATTGAACAGAACCAGGAGTTCATCAAGATGGAAAGCAGCAACCGACCGCACCGCAGGGCGCCACCGACGTGGAGAGAAGATGCCTTTCGGGAGGTGTCTATGAAGCAGGTCCCGCAATCGCTGCTCGTCCCGGAGTTAAGACCAGCACTTTTGATCTTCTGGACTAGTTGCTGCACCTTGATGTTGGACCATAACATGACAAGGTCGGAAGTACGCCAGGAAGAGGGAAAACTAGACGGAGGAGACGAAGAAGAGGAGGATGAAGAGGATGCAGACGATGAACAGTCCGAACGGGTTCAGATGTTATGTGATCGCAGAGGAAACAAGGTGAGAGTAGTGTGGGATCATTACCCCAATCACCTGACTACTGCATCTGATGAAGCAGAGTTGATCGTCGTTGGACGAAGCAGTACGGAGTATGCCAGACCTCGAAGTGAGTTGGTTGCTTATATGGTGGAGAAGCATCCCTCAGGCGCAAGGACTCGAGTAGTGACTGCCACAGTGGCCGAAGAGCAATGGAATGCTTTGGCAGATAGGAGATGGGAGCTTGTATTCCTGCTGTGAGGAATGCCCTCGAAACTCAACTGTATGGATTAGATGCCTTTGAGCTTGTTCGACCAGAAGGAATACCTGGGATGCGACCACTTGGTCTCCTAGCACACTGGGGTCGGACGTCTCAGTTTCCTGGGGTTTGCTTGGGGCTGGTCATGTTTTCCGAAAGTCAGAATGAACTAGGCAATCAATCAACGGTTGTTTGTTTCTGGCCGTATAATCAGTGAGACATGAGCAGCCGATGGCCTGTGTGACCACCGTCCCAAATCATAGTTTGAAGAAGTGAAGTCGGACAAAGTTTGGGCTTCTTGAAGACTGAGTAAGCAAACAACAGGATGAACCGGTGGTGATGAGAGCTGAAGGAGGACACCAAGCAGGGGAGCGGTGGGTGGCGGACGAGGGCCGAGGCGAGGCGAGGCGAGTGCAGCTGGAGCGCCGTGCAGTGGAGCGAATCAGGGACGTCTCCCACTGGTTTGACTGGCTTACAGCACCTCAATGTAGGTATCTAGGTGCCTAGGTAGGTAGGCTAAGGTACGGATACAGGCCCCCGTGCGACACCCGACCAATCACAGACCCACCAAGGGGCCGCTGCATCGTCACCTCAAACGCGAAAAGTGTTTCGTTTTCCTCCCGTCGTCCTCTCGTCTGCCTTGCTGCCCGTCTGTCGCCCTCTTCTGCCTCCTCCCTGGCCAAACATCCTGACACAGGGCCGCGAGAAGGGTCCAGAAGAGGCCCCCGACTGGCCTTCCCCGTCCTCGCGCTCCCTGCCCGTTCGTTTGATGGCGTCGAGAGTTCGCACCTGTCAGATGGCGACATTGCGTTTGCACGGAGGCGCGAATGGCTGCAAGGCACCTCGACGCGCATGGAATCGCATGGGATTGGATGGCCATCCACGGATATCATGCTCAGCTGCGGGAGATGTGCGATGACCTACCCACCGGCTGTTGGCCAGATTCGAGAGGCCGTCCCGATTGACATCATGCTCCGGGGAAGAGAGGAGGTCGATGGTGATGGCCTGAGAGAGAGCGAGGGATTCTGTAATACTTCATCAACCATCTCTCTCCCCCTTCACCTCCTCGTCTGTCCGTATTCATTCATCATCTCCCAAAGGCCAGCCGCATCTCGTCCTCAGCTCCCGTGTCAGACCCGACCCTGAAAACCCAAATGCAGTCACAGCAGCACTGTTTGGGTGTCATTCAGCAGCGGACGGCAGCTCCCCGTTTCACCACCTCTACTCCTCAGATCAGCAGCGTTTGATCGCACTCTCCCTGCCTTTGTCTCTGTCTCTTCCTCTGCGCCGTCTACCTTACATAGGCACTGAAAGAGTACTTTCTGCACCCTTCTCAGCCCACCTCCGGACCGACGCCCGCCACACAAAACGCATCTGCCCGTTGGTGCCACCGCACATCGCATCGTCGAGACCTTAATCATCTCGACCCTGGCTTGACAGAGAAACTCTCTTGACTTTCGGACAAACGCCATCCGTCGGGTCTGGTCTGGCAAGAACGGGACACTCGAGTGGATGCCTGTCAACACTCACGAGAAAAGAAAGAAAGCAAGACTGATCAACTGTCACTTCCCTTGTTCATCTACCCCAGGCCGTTGGCACCTGACTCGACTTACAAGCTTGAGTCGTCGACACAAGCCCCTTCTTCGATTGAGTCCGTCGCAACTGCTTGACCCTCGGCAACACAACATCACAATCGGCGGGCACCTTCACCAGCATCAGTCCCAACTCCTCTTCGTCCCTTCTACCCTTTGGCCGAGAAGCCCGGCCCGTAAAGTCTCCCTTTCCCTCAGACTGCCGATTATCCTGCCCATCATCGCCCCATGCGGCAGTAACGAGGCCCATCAACAACCCTGTCTCACCACCGCCGGCCAGAGAAGCAACCGCCAGCCCAATTATCCCGATAACGCCTCATAGCATTGACGAGATCGCCCCCAAAGCAGAGTGCATGAACTCCCCGGCCGCACCACATCTCTTCCATCATCTTCTCAGCCTTCTTGGACCTCTTCCCACTCGCTTTTTACCCAGCCGTCTGGTCGTCCCAGCTGCTGCAAGTCCTAGACCCTGGTTTCTTGGCTGCTCCCCGGTCCCGCATTGACCGTGCTGCTTCTTTGCCAGCCGATCGTGCCGTCATTCCCAGCGGCCTCTGACACGCAACACGTTTCGGCCCTCGTGTTTTCGGTTGCCTTGCCGCGCTTGAGCTGCCACGGTGCTGTCATTTCCAGCCCAAAACTCAACCGCTTCCCAGCCAGCCGAATCCTGGTCTGTCAATTGCTCTTCAATCCATCTTCCTGGCCGCTTGTCGGTGCCAATCGACCCAGCGACTAAAACCACCTTTTTACAAACATCGACCACGATTATCTCGACGACAACCACATCTACGAGACGGTCTCAACTCTATTACGACCGAAGGCGACTGCGCCTGAGGACCCTTACAACTTACGCTCGTTGACGGACAGAACCACACGGCCAAGATGACTACGTCAAGGCATCAGCGCTCTCAGCAGCGCTTGGTCCAGCTCCTGTTCCTGGCGTCCGCCTCGACAGCAGCAATCATCAGCATCGGAGGAACTGATCTGACCCTCTCAAACTTTCAACTCCTCACACAACTATCCATACCTCTGGGTTGCCTTTTAACTTACAACAACCCAATCCAAGGATGCACGGCGAACGACTTCTCGAGTACCGGCACCTGCTCAGCGTCATGCAGGCGCGGCCTGCTGCTCATGCAATCCAACATTCAAGATGTCTGCCAGTCAGTCTCAGTTCAAGCCAACACGGTGCTTGGCCAGGCCCTAGCAGGAAACCTTCTCGGCCTGCTTTGCTCGAGTAGCCAGGTCACAACCACCTCAGCCGCACCGACGGTCCGGCCGACTTCGACCGTGATAGTGCCGCCGCCATCATCGACTGTTGCTGTGCCTCCGCCTCCGCCAGCTACCACCGCCCCTCCCGTCATCCCACCCCCAGCGACTACATCAATACCTGCACCTCCGCCAACTCAACCGCCCGTTGTTCCTCCGGCCAGCACGGTGCCGCCACCAGTATCATCACCACCACCGCCTGTAGTACCACCGCCGCCAGCACCCACGACCGTCATCACTTCTACTACATCCAACGCGGCAGCACCGCAGAGCACGTCGGCGGAGACTGCGAAACCTCCGGTCAACCCATTGGATGCTTTGCTTCTTAGCAATGATTCAGACGCAGCCTTCGCGCCATCCAACTGGGGTTTATTAATCACTTTTGTTTTAATTCTCGCCGCAATTTAGTATCTTAGGCCGAACCTCCTGACCGGAGAAGAGCCTGCGCCTCCACCTATTTTACCAGTCGCCAATGAAGGGAATGCGCATCACCCCGAATTACCTGTCACTGTTGAGAGGTTTTGGAGGTTTCTACATGAGTTGTATGAATGAGGATGGTGTCAGCCTGACACAGGGAAGGAGGGCTGACAGAGGTGTCCTGAACGACCCTCGCTTGGATCAAAAGGGCAGCCTGCGAAACCGCCGCAGGACTCGGAGAGGCATTTGAGGAGCTGGACGCCGCAAGTCCATTGCTGATCTCGAAGGGAGACGGCCAACTAATATGTATCACCACGGATTTCCTTTGTCTGCATTACAGAGGCGTTGGGTATGACCTCCGCAAGAAAATGGGAGGCTACAGGAAAGCGGCAGCGATTACATCGCGTGTGGATTATGATCCTCCACAAGACAGCGCGTTCGAGATACCTTCCTTCATTAGGACATTGTAACATTAGATACCACAGCGTACTGCTCACGTAGACATAGACGGAGCAAACCACGACAATCAATGATAGTCATAGTCAAACAACACCAGCAGTGTTCATTTCGATTTGCCTCCGTCGTGAATATCATCCGAGCCCGAGGAACTCGAACATGACGCACCTCCAAACTCCCAAGACTGCGCATGAATCTAGGCCACCCGGGACAAGGGTCCCCAGGCAACGATTCCCCGCCTCCCCGTCCGGCCACCACCTCGACCGATGCAAGACCCCAGCCCGGACCCAGCATCGCATGAACGCCCTGCCGTGCCGCCGCCGCTTGTGAGTGGTCCAACAGCCGCAATCTGAGTTCTGACGTTCATGCGGTGGGGGCTGCGTGCCGTGTAGATGGGTGCGCGGGCACAGGCCGGCTGGGTTCTGGGCTTTTGTGAAGGCTGGATTGGGACATGCAGGTCTGGCCTTGAGGCCGGTTTGGGACAGAGCCAAGAGAAGGTTATTTGGAGGGGAAGATGGAGGGGCATTGGGGTCCACATGTCGCGTGGGTTGAGGTTTGAGATCTTGGAGTTGGGGAGGCGGGATCTTGTGGGAGATGGCTTGATTGGGGAGGGTTGGTGGGAGGGTGAAGGATGGGGTTGAGTTCTATGGGGCGCCTAGATTGACTGGGTGCTGAAGAGAGGAGAGAAGTATAAATTGATGCAGCAGGCTATCTAGCCTCAAGATCAGATCATCGATAGGATGCAATCCATCTGCCCTTGACTGAATGTGGTGGTTGTTGAAAGCTGTCTCCTGTAGGGGGACGAGAGAACACAGAGTCGGGCGGTTGGGCGTAGCAAGAGGCTCGACTGTCTTCTTGGATCTCTGTTGTCTTTGACTTATTCGATATCAAGTATAGTTAGGTGTGTGTTGTTTGATCAGCTCGCTCAGAAGGCGTTGAACGCTGTTGCTCAGATGTATGATGCGTCGCGATGGTTGACGGGGGCGACTTAGGAGTGGTTTGTAACGATGACATTTACACGACACGTATTGCAAATTTCTGTCTGTGTTCTTAATTCCATGAAGGTGCGTCGAGGGCGTTTTATTCATACATGCCCGGCGTGGCAAAACCAATGTGCTTTGGCGGCAGTATTGAGGCACATATATCTAGTTGGTGGAACACGTACTGCAGTAGCAGATTCATGGCTTCAAAGAAACGACAACGATTTCACAGCCCATTTCGAAAGAGCCTCTGCCGTCGCTAGCAACTCTTGCGGAACAGAATACGTCGACGTTGACGGCGGTGACGGACGATGCTGCCTGGATTGAGGACCCAGAGCCGTCGCTAGGCGTACGGACAGCCCGAGAATCCTGTAGCATGATGTGATCACGCCAATCTCAGTCTTTTTCTGAGTCCAAACATCACTCTGTTTTATCGCCCCTGGGGTCTCCTTAGATACGACTTTGACTATGATATACTGACGAGCCAGTTACATGTGTGAGGCTATTTCGTTCTGGAAAATGCTTAATTGGCATTTCTGTATGTAAAGCTTACTTGAAGTGTTATGCGAAACAACATCGAATTGTGGCGGTTTTTGGCATCTCGAAATATGTGCGGCAGTTGATGGGTTATGAACATGCAGATTCATCGTGAATGGCTAAGTTGGGTTTGGCGCACCGAAGAATCTGGTGGTTACAATGAAGTTTGACTATCACTTTGCCGTCCAGTGATCGTGTCCTTGTGACATGGCATGTGAATACCACCAGGACGAATGATGAACCTTACCTGGAACAAGATTTGATACGAGTGCTGCGTACGGTCTCTGTAACCACACATAGTCAGAAGCAAAATCCAATCTTTACGACAATCAGGGGCTCGCATCCCTTGCCTCCCTTGCGTCTTTTCATGGTGGCCAAAGCAAATTTGGTCCGTTTCATTGGTCGCATCTTGTTCTGTTACTGCCTACTTAATGGATCGTTGGCCGATGAATGATGCTTGCGGAGGCACAAATGCAAAGCTCCAAGTGCACGCGGCAGTAATTTAAAGGATCTGCTCCCCCCAGCTAGGATACGCTTCACTCACTCACCACAGAAGTGAAGCGGACAGGTCAAAACCGGTTGAGATGCATCTTTCCAGCAGCGCGAGATGGAATACACCAGGAATCTCGACAATGATGGACATCTGCATCTTACAGGGTTTGGCGCTCCGACGAATGTCCAAAGCAGTCTTCCAGTCCAGAGCTCCTTAACTCTCAGGAAGCAGAATTTCAGAAAACGAAAGTACACAATATTCCATGGTCAAGGACCTATTTGATTGCGTAAGATTCGGACATGGATTTATGTAGTGAAAATTGTCTATTGTGCTTTTCATTGCGAAGCATTTTTGAAGTAAGGGTTGTCCGAAAAAGCCGCAGCACCTAGCTAAAAAGAAGAACTCTGTCTTGTCAAATACTCATTTCGCCCTATGCGCGAAGAACAAAAACCAGATCCTGATTCCTGTCATGATTGCCATAACAGACCACCTGTCTCCCAGCTCTCCAGTCAAACCTCTCCGCTTGAATTCAAAGTAAAAAGGTTTGTTTACACTCAAAGAGCCCTTGAAAAGAATAGCAGCTAGAGCCTCACCCTCGGGCTCGCTACCACCAACGTCGCCGGTTGTCTTTTCGGGCTGGACACCGGACTTGAGACGGAACAGCTCGAATCCGTTGTTGTACCCGTTCAACTCATCCTTGCTCGTCCTCCTCCACTCAAAGTCTTCGCGCAGCAGTCTGCTGGTCCCGGCCTCGCTGTTAGGCTGCGGAACTTCGATAGAGAACCGGAAGGAGTCGACGTGGCTGCCGCTAAAGATCACCGGTCGCAAGTCCTCCGTCGCGTGCTTTTCTTCCTTTCCCTTTGCAGAGGGATATGCCTCCAGAGATGGCAGAATCATGGAGCTGTGCAAAGTTCGGGGATAGTTGGCGGAAGGCGACCAGTTCTTCTCATCCGAACAGACAGCCAAAACAGGGTCCTCGGGGTTTGGTCCGTTGTGCAGGATGATGCAGGGGATGCCGGGGCTTTTGCTGCTGGTGCCGCTCCAGGACGAGACCGCGTGGAGCTTGTGGTTGTTGCTGTCGCCCAGGTGGAAGGTGCGCGTGATCTTCAATTGGTAATACGCGCTCATGGATGACGGGAATGGCTGGTAGGGTGTGGTGGAGGGGCTCATTTGGAACGGCCCCTGAGCTGCGGACGATGACGATGAAGCGGCGGTGTCGAACGGCGTGTAGGCGGGTGGAGCCACGTCCGGTGCCGATGAGCCGACTTCGGCTTTGTCTTCGAAGGGGTTTCCCATGATGAAGTCGTTGGTTTCTAGGCAGGTTGAGTCCGTAGCCAAACTGGCGCGAGTAAAGATCAGAGCGCAGGTGATGTTTCTGTGTGTAGAGACCTGCGATGGGAAAGGAGCGCGCTTTATTATCTCGTGGAATGGGACTTTGGGTGGGCTATGGTTAGTCGACGTGGGGACTTCTGAGCAATCAGAGAAGATCGGCATGTTTTGTTGACGCAAACGAACCCTTAGTTGAGAGAAGATGGAGAAAACTGGAGCCCTGCAATGTACTTTTGTATTGCAGCCTAGATGCAGTCATGCGAGAGAGAAAGTTGGTCTTTCGACGAAATGACACTAATAACCACCTAGTTACTAGTGTCATTGTCTTGTTGTTGGCGATCACCGTTTTCTTCAACTCCAGAGATGGCCAACCAAGGTGTCTGGGAATAATTAGTTCCCGATGTTGTAAGAAGATAATAGGCTCGGGCTCGCATTTGCAAGACCAATGCACCCATGCAAAGCAATCTACCTGATCTCGGTGTTCAAGTGTGATTGCAAACGTCTGTCAACATCGCCCGAACCTGAAGTAGCTCTGAGTCATTCTTCATCGATTGACCGTAGCTTCATCGTTAAGACTGTCCACACGATGCGGGTTGCATCCATAAAGATTGGACACCCCTCGAACTCGACAAACGTTTGACCATGATGCTCCTCGAAGGCCAAAAGAAGTGACTTCATCGGCTTGAAGTGGCAAGCTGGACGACATGGCTCAGACCCTGTGAACGAGCAATGCGTTGGAGATAGCAGATAGTCAAAGACTCAAAGTTGCGAAAAGCCTCCCGGAACTTCTGATACTCCTTTTGTTTAAATGTTTTTCTTTCACTAGGTTAGACTACTGACTGAACTACGCTTCATCGAATATGAGCCTGCCGATCCATCATTCAGCTACTCTCAAGACTGCCTTCGCGAGATCCTAATCATGATCTTTCTCGAACCGAAGCCGACCCACTATATGAAATTCTCCCGGACTAGGCGTGAACAACCATTGCAGGGCCCCGTATGAGAGCAGCGTCGGTTACAGCAATTAATAAGCGATGGGGTCGGCGGCTTGTTTTCCCCCTCACAGTTGCAACATGCCCACGGAGCCTGCGAGTGCAGGTCTCCAAACTTGTCCTGGAACACCCTCTGCGGAATCTTTTGTATGGTCTGGTACCTCATGGCGTAATTGTTTTGGTATGTAACCGGGCAATGAAAAGATTATGAGACTTGCGATGAATGGAAATTTAAGCGAACTCTGATAATTGTGTTTTGTACTCATGTTGAGAGAGGATCCATCTTAGTGCAGAAACCACGTATTTAAATGCCTTTGATTTTGAAATCAACATCTCGTCACTTGACCAGAGAATATGAGCATGATGTGTCGAGGCTAGTCACAAAGTATGGAGTCAAGATTCGTGAGCCAACAAGACGAACGGATGAAGGACTGTTTGTATGACTGGCGAGGTCTTTGGGCAAACGATTCTGTCTGTCAACACTTTGCCAATATGTATTGTTTGCAGCAGTATATTTAATGAAACTGAGAAGTATAAATGCCTGATCACCTGTTGCAAAGCCACTCAACCCGCAGCAAGTCAATTTGCCGGCGGACTGGGGCCATGACTCGCATACTATGAGAGATCTTCACCCCATAGTCGATGATAAGAGACAAGTACGACTCACCTCTGAGCAAACGACAGCGAGGTCTGTGAATGTGTTGAGAATCGCCTCATGACGTGGCCGATTATTGTTTGTGATGCTTCCTTGAACATGTAATTGCGCCCTCAAATTGAGTCCATGGCAACATTCCATTATGCCGAGTGCTCTCACTCCGAAGAAAAAAAGGACGAATGAGCGGCAATGAGAGCAGACGTTGGACTAATGTTGTTTAGTTCTAGTCATGATACAACTGAGGTCTAGTTTGGTTAAGTTCGCTATGAGGGGTTCTCCGCCATTCTCGCTGACATCAAACTCATCCCGCAACGCCCAGACTAAAACCGACCGGGCATCGCTTGTAGCTGTCAGAAAAGCATCAGCACTATCGGACTTTGAGTGATCATGGAAAGACTACTATCCGAGCTGGCCTATCAGTCCGAAGTTCAACCATGCAGTCATAGCACATGATAAATAGCTCTCGAGTCTTGACAAGTCAAATGAAAGGCCAAATCAGTTGGTTTACCATCAAACCAGATGTCAGCAAGTGATGAGTTGTCGTCTGCGACATGGATGAGGGCAAATATCGCTAAGGACTTCGTCGAAACCTTCTGATTTGGGAAAACCACACGTAAGACAGCTAACGGCGTAAGCTTACTGTGACTCTTTTCAATTCTAGAACGAACTTCAGAGGAGCCTTCTTGACCGCATTCGCTGCAATCACCCCGTCCTCACAGAAGACGTGTGATCTGGATGCGAAAATGGCGCTATCAGGTCCCCTGCAGAGATGTACTGAAATTCAACCTCAGAGGTTTGCTCTGCAATCCTTCTCGTCAACCACCAATCTCAGCATGCTTTGTCTTTCCAGGGTCATGTTTGTGGTAGAGGTCCCACTTATTAGGCTTCTTGCCAGTCCGCTGCCCGTCGAGATGCCGCGGCTCGCGAGGGCTGTCTCCGACGAAGCACAGAGCTCGTCTGATAAAAGCCGAAAAGTTCCCCACCATCTTCCTTGTCTAGGGCACCATTCCCACCGGAATCCACGGAGGCTAGAACAATACCACGGGCAAACAGTTGAGCCGATTGGTAATCGAGTCTCCGTATTAGCATGGTCCCTCAGTTACGTCAGTGAGGGGACCAACTGGAGGGCGATATTTATATCGCTCGGGTCCCAGACAGATCACGGGTAAAATGACCCGCAACATTCAACGTACAACTCAGTCGCAAACCAGCAGCACTCTCATCTCAATACTAAGCTCCCAAAACCCAATAAACCGTCAAAATGCCCGCCACCGTCACTGTCCTCTACCCCAACGAGCCCGATGCCAAGTACGATATCGACTACTACGTCAACAAGCACATGCCCCTCGCCGGATCGACATGGAAGGCGTTCGGCGTGACCAGCTGGTCTGTCACCAAGTACGCCCCTGGCCCTGACGGCGCGGAGCCCAAGTACGCTTTTGCCGGCATCCTCCAATGGGACAGCGTCGAGTCAGTCAAGAAGGCGCTTGCTTCAGCCGACACGGCCAAGATCATGCAGGATGTTCCCAACTACAGCAACAAGCAGCCTGTCTTCTTGATCGGCGATGAGGTTCACAACGTCACTGTTTAGGCACGTGCATCAACGGGGGCTTGAAAGGGCAAGCAGGCAACAAATTAGCATTAAGATGATCGACGCGCGAAAAGCAGCGGACGAGAATAAACACTTATGACCTTCGATGATTTCTGTTCCCGCACGAATCATGATACAGTTGTTGATCACGATGATAGGCCCAATTAACATTTTCCACTGGGGGTATCTGAGTCCAGACAACTTCCCTATCAATTGATGCAACCTAGTTGACGAAAACACGCAAAGCTCAACTCTTTTTATACCAAGTCTTGCGGTCTGACCCACAACCAAAGGTCGGGATGAGAACTCGAAACGGAGTTGCGAAATATAACAGATCCTCGTAAATACCATGGGACTTAAAGCCCAGCGCCGCCATCAACACTCCAGGCAGCGCCATTGACAAAAGTGCTCTTGTCACTAAGGAGGAAAACTGTGACGTCTGCAACTTCTTGCGCACCGCCAACCAATGTCGGCGCAGGGAAGTCTCGTACCCTCTCAAGATTGGCCCGATGCATTGGAGTATCGATCGCGCCACTGCAAGTTGTCAGGGTCAGACATCTTATTCCAACGCCCCGTCTAGACGCAGTTTGGGAAAAGGGCGACTTACGGTAACACACAATTGACTCTGGCTCTACCTCCGACCTCCTTGGCTGCACTCCGCACCATTCCTAATGAGGCATGTTTGGAACCAGCAAAGACAGCACCTCTAAGAAACCCCTGAGTTGAGAACATACTCCCAACATGAACAAAGCTCCCGCCATCGGTCAACACGTCGGGTTTGAGTGACTCAGCGAGGAAGTTGAATGCCCCTTTGATGTTGAGGTCAATGATGAACTGGAACTCTTCGTCGCTTGTTTCCCAGATGGATTGGGTTCCAAGTTCATGGCCACCAGTGCCTGCGAAGTTGACAACACCGTCAATCTTTCCAAAGTGTGCCATGGTCTCTGCCAAGAAGCTCTTGACGCCTTGGCGACTGATGACATCGACAGACTTCACGAGGACTCGGCTTTGAATCTCGGGATCCAACTCGTTTCTGAAATTTTCGAGACCTTTGCCGTTCAAGTCACACATTGCGACCTTTGCCCCTTTTGAGATGAGAGTCTTCGAGGTAGCGAGCCCCATACCTGAGGCAGAGCCAGCAACGACGATAACTCTGTCGGCGAAAGAAGACATCATTTTGGTTTGTTGATTAGAGCGAAGAGAGTGAACAAGTGGAAGAACACAAGCCTTTTCTGGCGATTTCAAGTCTACTTAAATATTTCATGGGCTCATTTCGCCGTCTGGTTTTACGAATAATTATCACGTCTCTGAGTGCAATATGGCAATGCTCCATCATTGAGACGAACCATGATTGGCTCCACCGTAACCCATTTTCTGGAATGACACGCTAATGCAGCCCGCTGACACCAAGCAGCACCAGTTACGTGTGACGACGTTCTCGTCCAAGTTGTGCAAGTGCTGAGTCTAACAGCTTCTGCTTAGCTATGTCATGCATGTGGCTGACATGTCCATTTTGAGTCATGGACGCCAGATCACGATAAACCCCACATTTCGTCATGTCATCAAGATCTGTCCACTCTCTCTTAGCCCGCCACACCAAAATGGTTAACCGCAACAAGAAGTGCTGGAATTGGTGGACGGTAGTCATCAATTTTAGCAAGCTATTTCCAGACGCTGAACTTGTTTATGCTCGCTCAAACCCAGGATTCAAAGAATCGAACAGCTTGTAGAAACGCATCCTCCTTGCCAGCCTTTTCCACAGGTACATCAAGATTGGGATGGGTTGCAAATCCATGCGGAACACCCCCGTACAAGTTCATAGTCCACGGCTGACCAGTGCGTGCCATAGCCATTTCAATTTCAACCCTTCTTTGTATTTTCATACCCGTGTCCTTTTCTGCTCACAGAATCAGTCATCAAGGAATTCGATTGCTGTCATTGCCGAAGTTTACTCACCAGCGATGGCCAAGCTAGCGGGGCCTGATATTGCTTTGATCTCATCATCACCTAGCAAAGTCGGGTGAGCAGCGAATGCCGCATTCACCGCCTTGCCTTGAGGGAATCCCAGCGCACGGAATGCGTACCGGCCGCCGAAACAATATCCCACAGTTGCAATCTTTGACACACCCATCTGGTCGCGCATATATGAGAGTGCCGTCGTGACGATAGGATCAGTGACGCTCGGTCCGTGCGATCCGAAGAACTCGGTTGCGTTGAAGCCGGACTTTGGATCCTCGGATCGTGGCTTTCCATTGAAGAGGTCGGGCATAATTGTGACATAGCCAGCGCGCGCGAAACTGTCTGTGAGACTGCATAGTAATTAGCTGCTTGATCAAATTGTACTGGGATGACCTCAACTCCATGTCACACATACAGTTTGTTCTCCGTTGACTGAATTCCGAACACGTCTGTCAAGTGGACGATGCCGACCGTTGGTTTGGGTTGAACGGGCATGCCATTGCTACCTGGCTGTTCCTTCGGCTTGGATACGTATATGTCCACTTTCTCACTGTTAAGAATGAACCCACAAAGTAGCGTGTTGCAGCAGTAACTTACGCCCGTTGAAGTTGATTACCTGTCCAACCGGAGTGCCTGCGAAGGCAAGAAGAGACAAATCTGCCACAAAGCCGCTTGCCAGTCCGAAGAGATAGCAAGTGGCTAAGATAGTGCTCATGGTGATGTCGAGGAGCCTCATGACGCATTACCTACGACCGTCGCCGTGGTCAGTCCGCGCAGGGCATTATTGTTATGGGAGATTAACAGGACGGATACCATGTCATATATGGGTCATCGTCACACCAAAAGAGAGTTTCCCTCACACACTGCGAGTGCCTCGGGGTCAAATGGCGAAATAAACCTTACGCGATGTTGACTCGCCTCGCTTTCGAGATGAACAGTGGCCTACCACACATCAAGCTCATGCGACTCTTATCCAATGAAAGCCGAGACCTTGTCTCCGAGAAATGTCCTAATAGCAATGCGGCCGATACCGACGTATCGTCCGTGCGATGATGAGATCAGATGAGGGGTATTGATGGGCTCATCAGATGGACCGAGCCAACGAAAGTCCCCGTTGGCAAGTCAAAACATCTGAACTACTGCGCCGATTCAGTGATACGATTGGTGTGTTGCTCAATTTGTCGATTCCGAATCGTTTCGTTTTCGTCTCAGCCGAAGCTTGATATCGCGAAACAATCAGCACTCATGCTGAATAGCCTCCAGATTTTGCGAGAAGTGCCCCGCTGGCTGCTGACTTGCTGTAGTGCCGTTTCTCATGACTTACTCTGGTGGCTTTTGATCTTGGCATGATTGGCGTAAGATTGAGTTTAATAAGCGCCTGATTAAGAAGATAAAGAAGGCAGGAGAAGCACATTCGCCATATATTCGCCAAGGTATCTGCATGCATAAATTTAGTCATGTTTCTCTGTGATTGATGGAGGTTTGGGTCATCTGGGCAGTCCGTACACGGTCGCTGTAATACTATGCCTATTTCGTCTGAATATCATTGTCACTACCCCCTTTACCGTTCTTGCCCCTGCCTCTGTGCTCAAGTTCATTGAATCGGACCAATTCAAATAAGAATGCACTAACAATCTCCAAACAGCTTTACAAAATGTTCATACCTCGTAGTACACACGCAGCTATATAGGAACACACTGCATGGATTGTTCCACACAGTACTTCGTAGGCTTGAGATTACTATGGAATAGACGCTGGTAGCACAAAGAAATACACGAAAGAAGCAAACAAGCGAAGACCGAAGACTCCAAAATATTTTACTGAGATGGCGATACTGAATGTATTTGCTATGAACTAGTCTCTTACACTCTATTGCATGCTAAAACCAGCAAAGCCATCTAAGGAACACTCATTGATAGCACAGCGATACGCAGGCAAGCCGCCCATGTAACTCAGCGCCTGCCGAGTTCTTCCTGGAATGTTGCCTCCCATGTACCAAGACGTCTTATTTTGAGGAAGAAGCGTCCCGTTGCAGATATCATTAGCGCGATGTCCCCATTGCTCCTCGACGTCAGATTGCGCATCTATGCGATGGTATCCGTTCTCTCTTAGATGAACTAATGCCTGAATAATCCAGTCGCCTTGTATCTCTGAGACGACTGGTCCTGTCGCAGTCGCGGTGGGACTTTGAGGACCGTAGAGGAAGAACATGTTTGGGAATCCCGAAGTGCTCATGCCCAAGAATGTGCGTGCTCGGCTGCTCCAAACATCGTTGAGAAGTCTTCCTTTGAGCCCCCGGATGTTGACTCGGGTGAAGCTTCCAGTCACAGCGTCAAAGCCAGTGGCCAGAAGAAGAGCGTCAAGTTTGTGGATAGTGCCGTCAGACATCTTCACTCCCTCCGGAATGACCTTCTCAATCGGGTTCTTTTTCAATGAGACCAGACTAACGTTGTCTTGATTGAAGACCTCGTAGAAATTCTGCTCCAAAGACGAACGTTTCGTACCAAAAGGATACGGAGGTTCTTCAGGAGCGAGATTCTCGATCAACTCAGCATCATCTGTGAATAGTCTTTGCCGCACCTTGTCTCGCCAAAAGTAGTAGAATTCGTGATTCGCTTCCAGGTTGGTGCTAAAGTCCATGTAATTTCCTTGAGTGGGTGCAAAGCCTCCGATTTCCCAGAGTTGCTCGAACAAAGCTCTTCGTTGTTCTGGCGTGTCTTCCATGGCTCTCCTGTTAATGATTGGGTAGGTGAAGCCGGCTCTGGACAGCTTCATCTGAGAGAAAAGCTCTGGGTACCCGGTCTTGCTAGGGGGATCCAGTGCTAGTGACTTCTGTCTCATCGGCACTGCACAGTTGGGCGAACGTTGGAAGACAACGAGGTTTTCTGCGGTGGGGCCAAGTTCTTGGACAAGTTGAACGCCAGTCGCACCAGTGCCGATGATGCCGATCTTCTTTCCGGCCAAGTCGAGGTGATGATCTGGCCAACGGGCCGTATGACATGAGAAGCCCTTGAAGGTGTCGAGCCCCTTGATGCTCGGCACGTAAATTTTGGCAGCAAAGCCCATCGCAAGTAGGAGAAAGGGTGCTGTGGCTGTGTGGCCGCTGTCCGTTTGAATCGTCCACTCATTGGCTTGGGCATCGAAAGTAGCGTCAGTCACCCTAGCACCATAGGTGACGTCCTTGCTGAGGTCCCACTTCTGGTCGACAAACTCGAAGTACCTGACCATCTCGGCCTGGCTGGGGTATTTCTCAGCCCATTCCCATTCCTTCCATATTTCGGGGTCGGAGAACTCGTAGTAGGGAGTGTCGGTATCAACGCGAGCGCCAGGGTAGCGGTTGTGCCACCAGACGCCGCCTAGGCCATGGCCTTCCTCGAAGATCTGGGCCCGAAATCCTTGTTTTCTCAAGTTCCGCAGAAGGTAGCAGCCGCCGAAGCCTGCCCCAACAATGATTACGTCCAGGGGACGGTTGTCAACGTATGATGGCATGTTCTGATTGATATCGTGTGTTGAAGTCGCCGGGTGATGTGGCTGAATGATCGGACGAGGTTTCTTAGTTGTTGGAAGGTATTGACCTTATCAATCCACGAACATGGTCTTATTTATCTTTAACTTGCCCAGCTGACTTAATTGCCTACAAAATTCCTACACCTTACTGATAAACACTGGATAGCATGAATGTGCCTGGGTGACAGATCCGAGCCTGTCTCAAACATCAGTCTCACGGCCATCGCATCCGAATGCCCACCATGGTGAACGATGAGAGCAACCAACCACGGTTGCCCGGATTGTCGACGACGGAGCTGCTTGGGCAGGTTCGGTGATTACGCTTGCATCGGCGATAGAGCCTTCATCGGATGCGTTTCCCGTAGCGTCATGCTATCGCGTGAACCCAACTGCTTACTAGGGAGGGTGGAAACGCGGGGAAAGCGGGTCTTTCTTTATCTGCAGAAGCTGAGGTTTGACAAGGAAGTTAAACAAGGGTTGCCTGTTCATTATCAGCTTGGCAGATAGCTGATAGACAGGGAGCACGCATTATTCCAAGATACCAGAGATATCAGGGGGACATTGGTTGGCTTATTGCGCTTGGCATCAGTCCATGTCGTGCTGATTGCCTACACGCAATTTCGGAATACATAACTGGCAATCGCCCTGCAGTTCCGAGCTCATGCAGCTCGTTTGAACTCACTTGACTTTTCAAGAGTCCAAGACGCAGCTTTTCGCATGCGCGCAACCCCCACCGAGCCACGTGAAGAGCAAACATCCGACACCATGACCGCCACCAACGAGTCTCCGCCAATTGCTGCGGACGAAAAGTTCGGCGCCGAGAAGACTGGAAATGGCAGCCTACATCCGACAAACAGCGTGGTCGAGGGGCACACGCAACTGCAGGAGGATCGGAACGGCCAATTTCATCGCTCGTTTACTCCACGTCAAGTCCATGTCAGAAGCACTGCTTGCCTTGCAAAACTTGGCGCATCCCTACTAACCTGCACCTAAGATTATCTCATTGGGATCAAATATTGGAAGCGGAGTCTTCATTGCGACTGGGAAGGCACTTGCAACAGGCGGCCCAGGTAACATGGTGCTAGCTTACCTGATGGTATGCAGCTGTGTTTGGGCCGTCCTCCAATCACTATCGGAGATGACCATCGCCTTCCCCGTATCTGGAAACTACATTGACTACGCCGATCGTTGGGTTGACCCAGCGCTTGCTTTCGGAGCCGGCTTTGCTGAATGGCTTGGTTGGTTTCTGTCGACCTTCCTACTGGCCTTAGTTGCTAATGATGTGAAGGATGGACTGCTATCGTCGCCGCAGAGACAGGATTCTTTCACGTATTGATCTCACTATGGGCTGGAGACTCGTTCCCACTGGCGGGAACTGGTGCGTTCCACATCGACTTTCTCCACCTCTGTGACAAACAACTAACATTGTCTGAAAGTATCACTCTTCCTTGTCGCATGCTTCATCATCTTCCTTCTACCAAACAGCGCCTTCGCTTGGTTCGAATACGTCACCTCAATCATCAAGATCTTTCTCTTCCTCATCATTATTGTCCTGTCGCTCGCGTTGGTCCTGGGTGCGGGCCCAAATGGTCGTATGCATCATGGCGAGACTTGGACTGAGTTGCCGGCGTTCCTAAATGGGTTTACGGTGAGCAATGAGGACTTCTGACGACAAAAACCCAATCTGACTCACATTAGGGCTTTGCGAACTGTGCGCTGCTTGCGGTTTGGGCGGTTGGTGATCAAGTTTTCATCGGCATCATGGGCGGTGAGGCAGCTAGCCCACGCTTTTCGATGGCCCACGCAACGAAGCTTGTGCCATTTCGGGTCAACTTTATCTACATGATCAGCGTCGTCTTTATCACGATTCTGGTCCCCTCAAGCGATGATAGGTTACTCGGCGGAAGCAGCGTTGCAGCTTCGCCGTTCGTTGTTGCCATTGAAGACGCCGGTATCAAAGGCATCTCGTCTTTGCTCAATGCTGGAATGATGTGTGGTGTCTTGGCCATTGCTGCAGAAGCAGTGTACCTTTCTTCAAGAATCTTGAGGACGATGGCTCATCAGAAGCTTCTCCCTGAGCGGCTTGCCCAGGTTGATAATAAGGGAAGACCAAGATGGGCACTGCTGATTACGTGCGTCGCTGCGCTCATCATGTCATACATCCAGCTTGCATGTAAGTCAACACTGTCTCTGGTGGTCCATCTCGATGTGTTGCTAACCATCCTTCACAGCCGGTGGCTTGACGGTCTTGAACTGGCTGATTTCCATCACGAGTGCTTCATTTTTCACTAATTGGATCATCATCTCGTTCACAAACTGGCGTTTCCACGCTGCACTCAAGGCACAGAACGACCCGCTCTTCTCCCAAGTTTATGCATGGAAGTCCACAGCCTGGCCTCTGGCACCAGCTTGGCTCATGCTCATATCATTGCTTCTTTTGGCATGCTGCCTGGTTTGCGGTATCGACCCTATTGTAAGTGTACATTGTTGGCCTTGGCATGGGCCGTGACGTTTGATCTCAGAGTTCCCAAGCAAAGCTAATCATGTGAGTGTGGTTTTAGGGGAGCGACTCGTTCAGCGTGGAAAACTTCTTCCAATACATGATCGGATTTCTCGTCATCGTCGTGTTCACCATAGGATACAAGGTTATCTATCGCACTCCGTGGAGAGACCCGAACACAGCTGACTGTGTCACGGGTCGGCGCAACTTGAGTGTTGAAGAGATAAATCAGCTGGATGACTACTACAAGATGTCTAGATGGAGAAGGTTCCTTACGTATGTACAGTTGTGGTAACGCAACAACGTCAAATTCAAGCACATCAAGTCTCCAAGACTTGGTCATTTGGACCAGCACATTTGAACAACGTATTTGTCCCATGCGTAATCAGTGTCGAAGAATAAGTTTGCGTGGACTGAAAGAGCAGGAATACGAAAGGGATCAAGAAACACACGAGGATTGCACACGTTGAAGACTTGTAATATGGTGATGCAAATGATATTTCAACTGTATCATAGGTATGGAACCAACCAGACAAAATAGAACGTGACCGAGCACCACATTGCGAATATCTGGATGCCAATTCCGCACCATCAGCACGGAAATGCGTCTCACGAGCTTGTAGATGTTTTGCAACGCGATTCTCCTGACCTGCTTCGATGGGAAATGACTATGAATGCTTCTTGACAAGCAATTCCTGGCTTCTATTCCAGTAGAGATAATCCGACTTCACATAATCTCCCCTACCTTTGATTACTGATACGCCAAATACGCCGGATCACCAATCCCACCGGCACGGACAGCCGCTATGAGCGAGCACTGGGTGTTGATACGATCCGGGATTAGCATAATCTCGACCAATAAAATCTTATCCGAATTCTTCGGATACGCCATTTACGCCGCTCATGAACTGGAAAACACGGAGTTTACTTCTGTGGAAAGGGTCTTTAATACCACGCTCTCGGGGATAACATTTCCATCGGCAACCGCATCCGATAGCACACCAAATAATTGCAACCAAAGAAACCACAACGAGTTCTTGGGTAATGAAGATTCTCAGTACGGACTTTGAAGCCGAAAGTTAACAATCCTTCAAGTGAAGATTGAGACAGCTCACAGAGATAAAAGTCATAGAAGCAAGTACCCAAAGTTCGAGTCTCGGCTTTTCTAAACAAGCACAGAACAACCACATTCAACAGAAACATTCAAGAACATCGTCTCTTTCGATTGACTATCAACCAGTATGGCCGTGAACCAAACAACCCTCGAGACCTTCTACGTCCCTGCCACCCCGCATTCCCCAAACTCCACCCTTCCCGTCGTCGTATACAGGAACGCGCTGGCGGACAGGTCGTACGAAGCCGCAATGGAAGTCCTCCAATCAAACCAATGGATAAAAGGTGGGCACTGGAAGATTGCCAACGAGAAGCTTGCTGCTACTCCGCACTACCATTCCACCACTCACGAGGCGTACACCGTCTTGCATGGCACAGGCACTTACCTTCTTGGCAAGTCGCCCCTGGATGCGGACTTTGACGAGCATGGAAACGCCGTCGGCGTTAAGTTTGTGGCTCGTCCTGGGGATGTCTTTGCCTGGCCGGTGGGTTGACGACTATCTTCATGGATACCTTACATGTACGTCTGATTAACTGTCCTAGGCTGGGGTGACGCACTTCGTCACCGACACTCAAGACGACTATGAGATCATCGGGTTCTATGCATTGGTAAGTTGCAGGACTGGGGTCGAGAATCTGTGGAGTTCAGAGTGATCTTATCAGTTAGCAGACCGGATTCAACACGGTAGAAGAGCCTTACGACATGGAGTATGCTCTAGATTCGGAAGAGGAGACCGCTAAGAAACGAGAGATGTGTGAGCGTGTGCCTGGCCCAGAACTTGATCCAGTATATGGAAAGGAAGGATCGATGCCAAAGCTTTGGAAGAGAAGTGGCCAGTAACTGGAGTAGGAATGCAACTGTAGAGACGCTGTGAGCAAGTTGGACATTGACCTGGACATTCGATGATTCATGCTACTTAGTACTAGCGACCGCTACCATGGTCTTGCATGTACGTCTGAATTCTAATGGCCCATCACATTCAGTCCACCTCGTTGAAATTTTGTGTGTTGGAACGTATTCAAAGAACCATTGATAGGTTTATTGGATCAATTCGAAGCGTAATCTTCAAACTGCCATCCAGGCCAACGAGGAGCAGGGTTCCCCTCTCCAGTGCAGTTCGCTACGAGGAACGGGTCAATGATGCCTCCCGGGCCCGCAACCCTCACTCCAAAGCCACCAGGGCCACCTGCGTTGGCGTAGAAGATTCGGTAAGGAATGTACTCGAAAAGACCTTCAAAAGGCTCCACTGTAAAGTTGTAAGGGCTCGGCGTGCTGCAACAGCGGCCAGATTTGTTGCTGTTGCTAGCAGAAGACTGGCCAGTCTGAGCATTGTTGCCAACCCAAATGAGAATGACATCATCAGGAGTTTCGGGGATAACGCTGTAGGTGCCAGGAGCGGTGACCTCGATATAACCGCGGTGTTGAATTACGTTGCACTCAAAGGTGGAGTTTTCCGGGCCCCGGACGCCGTTGTACTCGACGGGACCAGAAGCCTGAGCACTGCTTCGTCGCAAGCCGATTGTGCCATAGCCAGGAGTTAAGCCAGTGGCGTCGGGAGTGCGGCCCATGAGAAGTTCCCCAAGGTCGATGGCGCGAGATGGAGACGTGTACAATACCCCTCGGCACTCCGGAGAGCGTGGCTCAAAGGTGTAGATGGCGAACTCAAGACCTGGCGTGCAAAGCGGCAAGCTGGGGGCGGATGAGATGCTTGTTATTGCGGGGATTAGACCGTCGGTTGGTGTGGAACCGGCCGGTTCAGATGTGGTGAAGCTGGTGGGGTTCTGAGTGGCCGTGTCGGAGGTATCCGAAGTACGGGATGGCTCCAATGTGGTAGCATCAGAGGGCTCCGAGGAAGTAGAGGGCTCCACAGTGGCTGTCTCTGAGTCATCTGAGATGGTAGAAGACTCAGAGCTGCTAGGAACAATTGCAGAGACTGTGGTACTAGGCGAGAGAATAGTTGTAACAGAGGCGCTGGTGACAGGCGTGGTTCGAGTACCCGAAACCGTGATGGCGGTGGCCTGGATGCCTTCGATACATTGGCATGCAGACCAATAGGCTGTGACATCTGGGCAGGAGCTGGCGTAGGCAGGCTTGATGCCCGTGATTACAGGTTCAGGGGCGTCCTGGCGGCGAACATGCACATTTCTGCCGATAATCGGTCTATGTAACCAGTCAGCCTCTTGGACATACCTTGAAAACCGATGTCACAGAAGGTTTCCGACTTACTGAACCGCAGCTGTCACGAATGCTGCACAAAGAGATGATCTAGAAGCAAAAGGAGGGTCCTTTCTGGCTGTACCCGCAACCGCGCGACCACAGTTGTTGTTGCAGATCGCCGCAGAGGCCAAACCCGGCACAAGCAAGGCCACGCTTAGAATAGTGTATGATTTCATGGCGAGAGAAAAAGGCAGTGAAAAGCTTGGAAGTAAGTGTTGATTTGGAGATGGCCCATGAAAATGATTGCGGCTCAAAGGCCTTCTTTTATGTTGATTGAGCCAGGTGTATTAAACCTTTACTTCAGTACGTAGCCTCTTGGCCAAGCTTTACGAGCGCTACATATTTGCTAATGGTTTGGGAGGGCTTATGCGAACATGCCATCCAAAATATCTTACGCGCATCTGTGGAATTGTTGTTGATGGAACGCAGACGGACTCACCGACAACTTGGATCGAGCTGAGCTGAGGTGAAATGTGGACGTTTTGAACACCCAAATATGCTCCTTGCCAAATTCTCTTCCAATAGAACGGTAAAACCTGATGGTTTTCAATCAGGAAGCATCAGCAGAAAACGACTATAGTTATGAGGTACCAAAAGTGTCAGGCATCTCGCTCTTAACTTGCAAATGATCATAGCACGAGTTACATATTCGAAGTTGACGAGAAGGACAGAAATTGCATACGTAATTAGATAGCCAATGATATCATTGTATGGTGGCAAATCAAGAAGGGTGACGGGGCGTTCAGGCGTTCCACAAGTTAGACCACATGGCGGAGCCCAAGGAGACACAAGAATGCAATTCAAGTCTATTGTTTTACGTTGATCGGAAGCTGAATCAAGTCTCAGATCGGAAAGACTAAGTTGGGTCACATTCTGCGAAGGTTCTCAGCCCTCTGAGCCCTTTCCAATGGAACTGAGAAGTCTCAGATGACCTTATCCGGTAATATCCACAGCTCTTCTGGCATTCGCCAAGCGTTTGAAACATGGAAAGCCCCGAACGACGGACCTCGACCTATTGCCCTCTGCCCATTCTTTGATCGCTTCTCCCGGAAGATATACGAACGCCAGCGCGTTTTCGATTTTTTGAAGTCCAATTCTTGTGAAATCTTATTACGTGACTGGAATATCTCTCATCCCGTTTGGCCAGCTACGTTCCGTGATGATCCGCCGACAAAGGCCGACTTAAGCTATCGACGTCCAAAGAGTTAGCAAGCTGCATGAGTTGTTCAGTGCTCAATTCAAAATGCAATCCAAAATCAATGTCATCTGTGAACCCTATGCCCAATTCCGGAGCACCAGCTAATGTTCCGCCGGGTGTCATTTGTGCCATCACATCCGAGCGAAAATCTTGGACGGGCAGGATCTCAGCGCCGTCAACTTGGAGGTGGCTCAAATATCCGTCGAGTTGCTTCAGCTCTGATGCAATCATCGTCGCAATTTTGCTTCCATGTGAACCCATCTCATCGAAGAGAGCATGGGCTCGTTGGGTCAGTTGAGCATGGTCTGGGACCAGCGAGGGGTCAATGGCGGCACCCATGGATATGGCAATGGCTGCTGTAAACGTCGCATCAAGATCAAAAGTCAAGAAGCTTTCTATATCGATAGTCAATACTAAGATCATTCTTCAAGAGAGACGGCTTACCCAGCAGGCCTTGGTTGAGTAGTCTCGATAGAATCTTGATACTCTGACAACAAGACTCCATGCAAACTTGAAGAAGACCTTTGACGCTTTCAGATTGCGCCCAACGTAATGGAGTCGTATGAGATTGGCCGAGTCTCGATTGTAGAAAAATGAATAGTAATGGCCTCGTGGTGAGCACGATGCATTGGTGATATTGGAGATGAAGGTGTGCCGACACACGCGACACGCCAGATGTGTTCTCGCTGGAATCGATGTCAAAGAGCTCGTTAAGCTGGCCAGCCACATTGGCTATGCTTTGAAGCAGCGATTTTGTGGCGCTTAGGTAGCGACTGTCCAGTTGCCCGTCAATGCCGTAAATACCTATAAACTGTGAGCGCCATGGGTACATTGCCATCGGGAGGGTTACGGCCTACTGCGATGAATTTGTCCGAGAATTTGCGCCAACTTCACTTGGATATGCATGACACTTGTCCTCTGTCCCTGATCGGGGCGGGCAGGGAAAGGCGTACATATGTGTTCATCGTTGATGAACATGGGAACACCAAGGAGAGTAGACATATGTCTCTCCAGCACGTAGAGGGTCCACCACATCAAACGGCACTTCTGGACGTAGGTTTCGTCCAAGTATTGCCCTTGCATCTCTGTATACATTCCACCTTCAAGTGCTAGGCTTACAGCCTGGGATATCTTGTGGATGTCAGTTCCCCACCGCTAAAATTTGTAGATGTCAACTCACATGCCGGTACGCCGACGTGCGACAACTGAGGCATTGCAAGTAAAGTGCTGCACAGCAGAGAACTTGTATCTTTTCAACAAAGTTGCATTCGAAAAAAGTAAAGTCTGGCATAATCTTCATGGCATGGACAAAAAGATCTAAGCCCGGAGGAGTTTGAGATCTCGTTGTTTGTACCACAAATGCTTTCCCAAACGCCAGGAGAATTAGGTAGTGCACACACCAGAGACGTGATAGGCCTGGGTGATTGGCTCCGTGTTCATGAAATATCGCAAATTGCTTCATGAAGCTTTCCTCGTCAAAGAGGTAGAACAAGCGGCCACAGCGGAACTTGACCGAGTTTATCAGATAAATAGCGAAGTCCTGAGTAGGCAGATTGGATGGGCAAAAGTCGTCGCGAGCGCAGGAACTCCTGCTCCCGTCCCACTTCAAGTCGTAGACGTTTCCGTCAAAGAACAGGTTATCGATCTGCAAAGGCGTTCCTGTGACAGCTTCATGCGTCATTGTTAATACCCGTCGTCCAAAAGCCCAATTTGAAGACGTTCCCATGAAAACTGAGTCTCATTCGTAAGTACTTTGTGGTCAACTTTCCATGCAGGTACCTACCAGGTGCTCCATGTGGTCCCGGAACCCAGTCAATCGTATGAAACGCTAAAGGGTTGGTCAGAGGCGCTTCCGCCACATCACCTGGCTCTTGAGCTGCTGTAGCCTCCCTTGATGATGACGGTGATGCAGGTGCAAGGCCTGACGAGCGCCGAGTTGTATCCAAATTGTCGTCTGTGAAGCAGTTCGTTTCACCATCTTGTTTATTTCTTTCAGCAATTCATACCTTATCAAATGTTGGTCTTTGCACACTTACACATTTCGGGACTCATCAAGTCTTCCAAGTTCCTGCTCACTGGGTCTTCATCCGATTCACGCCTCTCGTATGCTGCCAATCTGTTGTGCAGCTCATTGATGTACCTGTACGGATTAGACCACCTTGCCGCTTTTCTTGAATCTGGTATTTCACACTTACTTTCTGGTAACGAGTACTTTCTGATTTTCGTCAGGAAAATGGCACATCAGGTCTCTCTTTGTGCATTGTTGGCACGGCTCAAGCCCGGAGCATCTTATCTTTTGATCGCGACATCTTGTGCAACTTGGGAGATAAGACAAGTCAGCAATAGGCTTCGTCAAAATAGAGCCTGGGAGGACCTTACGCTTTGGGCACGCGTTTACGCGGTGGCCGAGCACGCTTCGAGCCGCTTCTCGGGGGCATTTTCCAATGCTATGAATGAGCATCTATTGACTTCTCAATAGCGAAGACCTCGATAGCGGTTCAAGATACTGTTAGTTTGGGCCATGCTGCTAGAGCGGGGGAGGCACGTTTCCGAGTGGAGTAAAAGCGGGGTCCGCCCCGATATGGATGGTTTCGCAGGAGGAAGGTATCCGCGGAGCGGTCGGTATGTGTCACTTAGATAGTTGCCATCAAGTGTAGAAGACGCTTGAAGAGAGAGCTTCGATGAGAAGACATAAGATGTAAATTTCTCAGATGGGGTATTGCATTTCGAAAGCAGCCCGACGATGTTGCAGGTCACTCACTGCAGCAGATCGGAGCTACATCCGGGGGCACATCGGATGGCAACCCGCAACAGGTTCAAATGCCGCACAAAGAAAAGCCATGATTTGATATCCATGCCAATATCTGTGTGGCTTGAGATTCGAGTTCTTTCTTAAAACATAGAAAAGATCGCGAGGTGCACTGATCCACGAGCCTCAATCACGTCAACTTCGATTGCTAGCATACAGCGACCCAAGTCCCTGTTTCTTCCGGTTTTCGGAGGCTTCCGTGCTGTTGCCCCGCGCGTCATCCCCGCGAACCGAATTGCGGGTGGCTGGTCGTTCTTTACTGGGTTACCCAAGCTTTGCCGCACTTGACCTACAGTCACATGAACGTTAAGGCTGCTCGGACTGCAAGAAACTCCGGTGGCTTCATTTTAGGCGAAAAGGTTCCGTCATAGTCCGGAAAGCGTTTCGTTTGAAACGTTGTCAATACCTAGGCATCTGGTGGGCCCGAAGCCAAACGTACCACTGCCAATGATCCTCCCAACTCTGAACCTCACGCAACTGCATTCATGCACCTTGATGTGCGATTGGTTGCATAGCCGTTGACTTTATCATTGAGACTTTAATATTTCCATAAGATGGACACAAGTATCGGGACAGCCCAGGAGAGGGCTGCGCTGCTACATACTCCCGAGCTGCAGGATTCCGACGCTCAGCACCACACCGCCGCGATGCTGGACCTGCCGACAAAAACGGTCGACGAAGACGTGGCTGAGGGCCTTGAATTCGAGCACAATTTGACGTTTCGCCAAGCACTCGGCATCTACTACAAGGCCATATTATGGTGCCTGGTCATCTCGACATGCGTCATCATGGAGGGTTATGACCAGATTCTCGTCCAGAGCTTCTTTGCGTATCCCCAGTTCCAGATTAAGTTTGGAGAGTATGTAGGCAGAGGGCCTACGGGATATCAGCTGAGCGCACCCTGGCAGGCTGCGCTATCAAATGCATCCGGCGTGGGCGCATTCTTTGGTGCCCTTATCAATGGGTATGTATTCTCGGAATGAAATGATATTGCCTGTAGTTAGGAAGCTGACGAGCAATTACAGACCACTTGTCAGTCGCTTCGGGCACAAAGCTGTCCTCTTAGGGGCCTTGATCAGCCTGTCTTCATTCATCTTCATCACATTCTTCGCGCAGACCGCTGCAGTTCTTTTAGTTGGCCAGTTTCTTGCAGGATTTCCCTGGGGCGTCTTCGCTACCACAGCGCCCGCATATGCCTCCGAATGTCTACCTGTAATCTTGCGAGTTTATTTTACGAGCTTCACCAACATGTGTTTTATCATCGGCCAACTTATCGCAGCCGGTGTGTTACGTGGCTTCCAGTCCCGCGAAGATGAGTGGGCTTTCCGCATCCCATTTGCGGTCCAGTGGATATGGCCGACATTCCTCATCCCGCTTGTGGCTTTGGCACCCACGAGTCCATGGCACGAAGTTAGACACGGGCGTCTAGATGCGGCGGAGAGATCTCTGCGCAGGCTACAAGTCGAGTCACCGTTAGCAGATCCGAAGAAAGCATTGGCCGCCATTGTTTACACGAACAAACTCGAAGAAGAGCTTGAGGTCGGCACGTCATATTGGGATTGCCTGAAGAAGTTTGAACTTCGAAGGACAGAAATCGCATGCATGGCATTTATTGGGCAGCCTCTTGTCGGACTCAACCTTGGCTGTAAGTACTTGAAGACACGCTCATCTACGATACCGCTGACAAATATCGCAAGATAACTCTACTTATTTCTTTGAGAGAATCGGACTTCCCACGGCAACGACATATTCTCTCAATATCGGAACCACCGGCCTTGCGCTCCTTGCCACATTCCTGAATTGGTTCATCCTGATGCCTCGTTTCGGTCGTAGAAGGATCTACCTAACCGGCACAGGCGTCATGATGGGCGTGTTGTTACTGATAGGGATCCTTCAAATTTGGGGTTACCATACCGGCGTAGGGTTCACGCAGGCAGCCCTCTGTCTGTTCTGGACTTTCGTCTTTCAGTTATCTGTTGGACAGCTAGGCTGGGCACTGCCAGCTGAGGTTGGTTCAACTAGGTTAAGGCAAAAAACAGTCTGCTTGGCCCGTAACGCATACTATATGGTCAACGTTACATGTTCAGTGCTCCAGTCATACTTCATCAACCCCACAGCATGGGACTTGTCCGGGTACACAGGTACGTCGCCATTGCCTTGTTTCATGCATACATGCTTCTGTGCAAACTAGACTGACGCTCAATAATCAAGGCTTTATTTGGGGAGGAACCTGCTTCTGTGTACTGCTTTGGGCTTTCTTCAGGCTGCCTGAAACCAAGGGACGAACATATGAGGAGTTGGATGTTCTCTTCTCTCAGAAAATCTCGGCCCGCAAGTTTGAAAGCACAAATGTGGGGCAACTCACTCATAGGGAAAGAGAGCGAGAGCCCTTGGTACAAGGTGAGGTGGAATAAATACATACTCCAAGCAACATAAAGACGGGTTCCCACCTTTGATTTTAACACATCACTGAAAACAACACCATGGTTTCCACTACGGCATAGTAGATAGCCCTACCGAATACTTCGCAATTGTATGTATTTCTTAAATTTATTTGCTTTTCGGCATTCTATCCTTCTTGCCAGGCCTAATCAGTGTTCTTCCATAATCTATTCCGCGTGCAATGCATCCCAAAAGAACAGCAAAATGGTAACACAGAATGATGAATATACAGAGGAAGATGAATATACAGAGGAAGTAAAACATGTCATGATTTGATCAGTACTTAAACAGAACCCAGAACCGGAAATTGTATGGAAAGAGGATGCAATGCAGATGTGGAAGACTTGCATGGATGCGTAGGATGCTGGGCGGGGGTGGGGGGACGGAAACTCCCAAAACATAACTCCTGGACAGGCTTGAACGCCAGTTGAACATGAAGAAACAGGGTGAAACACGGAAAAGAAAGACACAAGGAGAAACAGGCCCAAACGCCAAAACTGGCTACGTCTGAATCAAGAGATGATCCAGAAAAGCCCCAATAAGTAAGCCGAGAACAGCACCGCCTTGTCCGCGCGGGCATTGAGATTAGTACCACTGCCTACGCGCTCGACCAACTTATTACCAAGTTGATTAATGCTGCTGGAGAACTCGGCGGAAGTCGACGCGGACCAATTGGCACCGTTTGCACCAGGAGCGGCGTCTTGGCCGGTGAATGCAATGTAAAGGACGTCGTTCTCATCGTGACCTTGGTTGCCGTTGACGCCGTTCCCGAAACACGAAGTCGCCAAGGCAATGGATGCCTCTCCAACCATAGGCTGATCGCCGTCGTCGCCGTTGGTATCACCCCAAACGCCGTAAAACTAAGACATGGTCAGTACAATAAGAACTCAGATGAGATAAAGGCTACTACTAACCAGTTGGTCGTTGCACACAATAGCCATGACACTGAGAGGTTCAACGCCATACTCCTTGGGGTCGAAGTTTGGCCAGTTGGGCTTCGAACCCTCATTGCCAAAGACAACGTATGGGTGAATATAAGAGTTGAGGTCGCCCTGACCCCAAGAAGTCAACCTGGTCTTGAAAGTTGTCTGTGACTGGGTATCCGTAGAGCTGGCACAGCGGCCGTCGCCTGAAGTCTGGGCGCCATCACAGTCGATGTCCATATTGGTGAGCTGGCCTTTTTTGCCCTGTATGTAGATGATGTTGTACTTTTCCAAGTAGTCACCACAGTATCCGAAGTCGCCGCTGTCGCCATCCATACTGTTGAAGCCACCCTTTAAGACATTGCCGCATTTGCCTTTACCGCGGACATGATCGTAGAAGTCTTTGACATTCTCTGGCACATCAAGTGCAGAGATGATTGGGACCAACGTCACAAGAAACCGGAAGAAGAAGCCGACCCGGGGAATCATGATGATCGAGTGAGGCTGGCGTCGTGAGTGAGGATGAGGTGAGACGGCAGCTTCGGGGGCGAAGGTAAGGATGCTGAGTCGCGCTTTGGGAACCCACACGTGATTTTCGTATGCAAAGCACGGCTTCTTGCAGCGCTAATTATCGAAGCGTTAGTTGGTGCACTGCCCCCAATTTAGGCAGTCAAGGATCACGAACTCGCCAAAGTCTTGGCTAAGACTGTGGTAATTGGGTCCGGGCAACTCACAAAAGAAAGGTGATTGGCGGTGGACTGGGCGGTTGTCAGACAGCTGAGGTTAGATGCAGAGAAGACGCGAAATCCCTCGCGGGATGGCTTCAACGTTATATATGGAAGAAATTTGGGACATTTGCGGCCAATATTTTACCTTTATGATTACCATGGCCCAAGATCGCCATTGTCCATTGGATTCAAGTTGTGGCGCTGCATGGTCCATAGTGGAGTTGAGCTGGATGCAACGGTGACGACGGGGTGGCCGAGCTTATTTGGATTAGACATGAGCTAGTCGCAAATTCGCAAGTCTTCCACGTTGCTGACATCTGCCAACTTCAGCCGCGAAGCCATGGATTTATCGTGGCTTTTTCTTTTCTTTTCTTTTTTAAAAGAAAAAATACAAAGAAGTGGACTGTGTCTAGGAAAACGTTCTGACACTACAAATTCTGCGCAAACTCGGTTTCCGCGGACGGCCTGGCTCATGGGGTGTATGGGATCACCAGCTTTCAAGGTTGCGAAAGTGGACCGGTATGAGCATAAAATCTTTTTTCCATGAGTTCGGTAGCCCTTAAGATCAATCAATATTTATGTATATTCCTATAACTTTGAAAGGTGCTTCTTGGTTTCAGAGTTTGTCAGGGCTGCCAAGGTCTACGGAAAAGCTTCCACGAGCTCGCGGAAAACGCGGGGCAGATTCGTCCTAGCTTACTGCATTAGTTGAAGCGCACGAATGATACTAACCAAACGACTTTCTCGTGCTATTTTGGATCTTGATCTGCATTCTGCCAAGTCTGAACCGCGCCATGTGGATGGTGCGGGGTGCGGAGGTGACGCGGAGTTGGGCTTCTCCCCACGGCGTATTATCTTGCCGGATATCTCATTATTTGGAGAGACACAGGACATATTTAATGACAACGTGGGTTCTTCACAGGAGGTTCATTGTCAAAAGAGAAGATTCTCCGTATATCCAATATTCGAGGCTCTCATCATGACAGACATCAAACCCAGCAAAGACATTGTCAAAGATCATGATCTTCTTGGAGAAAAGTCAATTGACTCTTCTCATGTGGTTGAGCTTACGGAAGCTGAGAAGGCTATTGAGAAACGTCTTGTGAAGAGGGTCGACTGGCTGATTATGCCCCTAATATTGACAGTGTACCTATTGAACTGGATAGATCGGTAAAAAGACTCTACCTAATTATGGCTCAGAGACAGTACTAATACTCAAATTTTCGTGTTCGATAGGAACAACTACGCATCCGCCCGTCTCGCTGGTCTAGAAGATGATTTGAACCTTGGCCTGACACAATACCAAACGGGACTTTCCATCCTCTTCGTTGGGTATATCTTGGGTCAGATTCCTTCCAATCTTCTGCTCAACTGGTTCGGCCGACCATCTCTTTATCTTGGGTTCTTTACTATAGCCTGGGGAATGGTCTCCGCCTTTACTGCCTTGGTGCAGAGCTTTGCAGGAATTGTGATTTGCCGATTTATTCTCGGATTTGTTGGTATGCATCGTAACCACCCGCTCATCTGAGTTGTGGATCAAAGCTAATTTACACGTATCAAGAGGCACCGTTCTTCCCCGGGGTGTTGTTCTATCTATCGGTAAGCTGGATCATATTCGTGAAATCGTTGTCGTACCCAAACTGATCAACTGGAAAGAAATGGTATACTAAGAAAGAGATGAATCTACGGATGAGTATTTTCTACTCAGGGGCTCTCATCGCTGGCGCCTTTGGCAACTTGATTGCAGCCGGCATCTTGGAAGGACTTGCAGGCGTTCGAGGTCTTTCTGCGTGGCGCTGGCTCTACATCCTCGAGGGATCAGGTGCGTATTTCTTGATCTGAGTCTCCGATCATGGTTAACATCCAATAGTAACTGTTGTCGCTGGAATTGTCGTGTGTATCTTTCTACCAGACTTCCCTCAGACGTGGCGAGCTCTCACTCCAGAAATGCAACACGTCGGTGAGTTTGCTCCGCCCGCATGGCTCGCACAGTTCTAATCAGTTTCCGTAGCGAACAGAAGACTTGCCCTGGAGGCAGCGGAAGCTGATACCGACGAAGAAGGCGTGTCATCACAACTGAAAGGCCTTAAACTCTGCATCGCCGACCCCAAAGTCTGGATTTTCGCCTTCATCTATATGGGTCTCACCGGCGCGCAAGGGTTTGGATACTATTTTCCCACCCTAACAAGGACCCTAGGCTACAGCCATTACATATCACTTTTGTTGGTGGCGCCGCCTCACATCTTCATCACCGTCTGGAGTTACGTCCACGGCATTGTCAGCGACCGCTTCACCACCCGATACTGGTTCTGCTTGTATCCAGCAGTTATCTCAATTATTGGCTTTGTGGTCTTCATGACCACCGACATTTTTGGACCGAAATACATGACATTCTTTTTCATGATGTTTCTCATGAATATCAACGGTACCTTGTTCAGTTGGATTGCTGGAGTCGTCTCTCGGCCGCCCGCCAAACGTGCCGCGGCGTACGCTCTCATCAATTCTCTCGGTAATTCCGTTTCCATCTGGACTCCATACACGTACCTTGATAAGGAGTCACCGTACTTTTTTACCGGTATCGGAATTTGTGTTGGACTCATTGCATCGGCTGCGGCACTCATGACACTGCTGCGGTTCGTTCTCATTCGAGAGAATAATCGGCTAGCTAGGTTGGAGAACGAAGACGTCCAATTGACGCAAAAAGAATTGGCTAAGCTTGAGAAAAGTGCGCATGTGGAGGGAGTCAGTCTCAGTGCGGCGCGCGCTTTACAAAAAGGCTTCAGGTACACCATCTAAACAAATGTAGGTCAAGGTAGCGAAGGGCTAGTTTATTCCAATTTTTGTGCATATGGATCAGGCTTCGGAAGTTCGGCACGAGTGATTATCTTCGCACGTCATCGTGCAAGACGGCGGGAGGAGACATTGGAATCAGGCTGCAGTGATGCTACGACTGCGTTTTCCAATCCCGATCCACATCAGGCTCGTAGGCCGAACGCTTATCTCGGATCTACCCATGACCACGGCCTTAAGTAGCGTCAACATAGAAAAAAGCGCCTGTCTGTAGCCAATGATGTGGAACATGCAGCCGAGCCCTCGTCATATCCAGAACAAGGGGTGTATCCCTGCTTTGAGGTGCATCAGCTGAAGGGGCTGCAGGGTGGTCTGCAGTTCGTTGTCATATTTACTTGGAGCCTCGCCCATCAATAGTGCAGAAATTCCTATCTCACACTCGTAAGACTACCGGAGAATGGGAAGCCATAAAAACTTCAAGGGTTGTATGTCGAGGGTGTCCGCGTGGCGTTGAACATGAGTGTCAAGCATGGATCCATCGCGAGAAGTTGACCAGTGAGCAAGTAGGCGTACACGCCCTAAGTACAACGGCTTACCACCTCCAGAACCGGTCCAGCAGGCCAGCCCGAGCCTAGTGAGACTGTCATCGAGAACGTGGACGAGGAATCGGCAACTCATGACCACGAAGACGCAACTACAATTCGAATAGCGTCTCCCACCCATACTCAAGACAGAACGACACAGCCCAAAGAGGATTCAATTTCTCAGAGGGCCTCGAGTTTCAGGGTGCAACGATTCGCTGACAGACAAACACTTTCCGGGTGGTTTCCCCAGATCGACAATGACGAGAAGAATAGTTGGCGCATCTGGCTTTCGAGAAGAAGCCAGGCGCTGATGGTGCAGATTGGAATCATCGGTCTTATCCTCATGACGAATTTTGGCTTGACCATATTCGCTGTCGCTAGCTATGGGAGCTCAAATGGAGTAGGGTTGATATACCAGGGTGATTGTTCGACCGTCAAGAAGCTGGATCAATGGCTGCACCTATTGATCAACCTTCTCGGCACAGGCATGCTGTCTGCCTCCAATTATTGCATGCAGTTGCAAGCAGCACCCACCCGCGCGAATGTAGATGCTGCACACGCCGCAAAGAAATGGTTGGATATTGGTATTCCCAGTCTGCGGAATCTTCGATATCTCAGCAATTGGAGACGGGCGTCATGGGCTCTTCTAGCATTGAGTTCCATCCCAGTGCATCTGATGTGAGTACACGTGGGATTGTCCGGTTAGCAATTGAGTCACTGCTGGCTGACATGCGATCAGATACAACTCGGCCGTTTTTCAATCTTTATCCTCACACAACTACACCGTTGCTGTTATCAAAGATTCGTTCCTAGCCAACAGTACCTGGAGTCTCACAACAGCAGAGGCTAATCGTGCAGGCGATTGGGGATGGAATGACACACGAGTCAATCCAACTAATCTCGATTATGAACAGATCATCCGTGAGATGCAGCAAAACGCGTCGTCATACCAAGAGATGAACGTATCAGACTGCTTTGCCCTCTACGACGACTACTGGCAGCCTCAAGGGAACGTCTTGGTGCTAGTCAAAAACCAGTCGGTACAAGCACCGCCTGATGATAGCCTTCTAATGTATGTCTCAATTGTTCCCCGTTCGGACGATTGGGGAAAGAACATGTGGGCTTTAGGGAATGGCACCGGCCGTTTCATTGCTCAGTCGCCCCCCAAACCTGTCACCGTCTGGTATCTCGGACCAAAGTACTATGAGGTCGCCCGATGCCTGGTTCAACCTCCTAACGATTTGCACACGAAATGCCGCTTTGAGTACTCGCCTCCTATCATGTTCACCATCTGCATAATGAACTTCATCAAAGCTTTTATTATGATATGCATTTGGTACTTGAGAAAGTGGCAAGATCAAAACCAACATAGGAAGGCGAAGGAAGTCCTGTACACACTCGGCGATGCAATTGCATCTTTCATGAGGGACCCATGCGACCAAACGAAAGACCTCGGTCTTTCCACAAAAAGTGATTTCCTCACGACCAGGAAATGGAAGGATCGCCTCAAGAAACAAATCCCAGTTATTCTGGAAGAGACTAACAATCGCACGGCGAAAGAGTTCTTTTCAACCGCGAAACAGTGGAGGTCTGCTGCCAGTTTCAAGCGCTGGGCGATCCTTCTTTGCATGTGAGATCCCCCTGGACAATGATTGCCCTGTTTTCGATAACACTAAAACTTTATGTGCAGGTGCCTGTTGGTCATCGTCATTGCTGCAATTCTCCTCAGCATGTCTTTCGTCAGTCTTCGACACAGGAGGTTTGGAGTCAGCATCCCTGAACTTTGGGGTCTCGGATTCGGAGCTCTCACACCCTACACTTATCTCGTCCTCAATCTTCCTCAAAGAGATCCTGTAGGGTTGATATCCAATGTTCTCTTGGCCAACCTGCCTCAGCTGGTGCTTTCCATCGTATACATCATATACAATACCATGCTGAGCACGTTTCTCGTACAGAGAGAGTTTAGCCGGATGTACAATCCCGAGTTCAGAAAGCCACTGCGTGTATCTGAGCCAGTTGGGATACAAAGGTCAAGCTATTTCGTCTCCCTTCCTTTGAGATATGGCATACCTCTCTACGCTAGCTCAGGGGTGATGCACTGGTTGATTTCGCAGAGTCTATTTTTAGCACGAATACGGGCTATCTCGGCGGATGGTAGTGACGATGAGACCAACTCTTTCTCCACCTGCGGCTACAGTCCAATTGCAGTTTTTATTGGTAAGCTAACGGTTTTCTATTGCAAAGTTTCATGGTCTAACACGGACTGCAGCGATGTTGGCGGGGCTTGTGATCATTGTTCTCATCGTGGCCATCGGTTTTCGTCGTTATGACGGAACGATGCGAATGGTCTCGACAAACAGTCTAGCAATCAGTGCAGCATGCCATGTGTTGGAAGAGGATCGTGCAAGCGGGTATCTTCTACCAGTTCAATGGGGGGCTATTCAGATGACAGGAGGGGAGGGGAAGTGCGCATTCACCACAGCCGCGGCAGACACAGTCAAAGTCCCACAACAAGGATTGAGATACAAGTGAGGACACAAGATTGAGACATCTTTCCATTCATTATTTCGTAAGCAATGTCAATGGCTTGGCAAAGCTTGAGCTGCAGATGATGCCGGGTGCCGGTCGGCAAAGGAGGTGAATCCAACATCGGCAAATGGGCGCACCCTGCAACTCCCAGTCTGGAACACACGTGCATGGATCATGAAGCTTATATGCGATAGACTCAAATAGAACTCTGGTGCTGCGTGAATGAGTCATCAGATACTGCGGCCGAAGTAGACGAGCAGAGTCAATTTTATGCACACGAGAGAGTCGTGCGATTTCCGCACAGGTTTCTGAAGGGGAGCCAGACATTCGCATAATTCTGAAGCTCAATACCTTCATAAGCCTCACTCAAGCATCTCTTAATCTGAGCCCTGTTTCCATGCAGCTTACCACGGGGTTTTGAGCCCCCTCCAAAGAATAGCATTCTGAGGTGAGTTTTCAATCAAGAAGTTGTCGGTTTGTGGCTCAACCTAATTGCGCCTCTCCTATCATTACCTAATATTGAGAGGCTGATATTGATGTTTTTGTACGATGTGTAATCAACTTCATCAGATGAACTCAAATCAAATACGAACAAGACGCTAGCAAAAGTGGCAAGCGCGATGTATTAATTATCCTCATCTTACTGGTCTGTGCCCTTATAACGATTTTATCATTCAGCTAGTTGGGGCCCCTGGTGTTGCTTGCTCATCCATGGACAGTCAGCGTAGTAAGATAGTTGTGACGGCGGAACAAATAGCTCGGTGAGCCTTCATACTGCATGAACGCCTTAGGAGTATTCGCGTCTAGCAAGACGTTATCTCTCGACATCGTCCCCGCGAATACCTTTGACTAAAGGCGCATGCGACACTCAGCTGGTCTCGACAAATCCACCCCAACATCGTGGGGCAAAGTCTTTCTATCGATGGCTTGAACCTACTTTTCTCCTGCCACAATGCTACTGAACTTGGAGTGCAGAGGATGCATGCCAAGCGTCCAACGTTCAATCGGCCGCTCTGGAAGCATGACTGATACGTATATTTGATGACGGCTTGATGTCGCTTTCGCTTTTTGCTACATATTCATACACTGCCGATTCGGCACAATGCTTTTCGGCCTTCTCTACATGGCATCCATGGTGGCTCTGCTCGTGACCGGTATTCACCGAGGATGCCGCCTGGCCAGTGACCCATTACTCTACTGGCAAGCTCATGATGCCAGCCTTGGCGTAGAAGTATCAGCACTTCCATGATCCATTGTACATCAGAGTTGAGAAGTCGTGCAGTAGTTCATGGCTTTACGAGTCAACTCTATCCCATTCCCGCCAGAACGCATCCGCCACGTTGAGCTCTGTTGAAATCTGAAACAACCGGAGAAGGATCCTTCAGGATTTCTCAAAGGCCAATTTCCCTTACAAAAGAATGATTTCCCGAAGATGCCGCCTGCTTTCACTTAGTAATCCATGCTGGTGGTTGTTGAATGCCTGTCCCTTGACTTCGGAAAGTTTACCCTAGTGATCGACCGGGAGATGTGTAAGCTAAGAATAGAGTTGGTCCAAGCATTTCGGCCAAGAACGACAGTCGTGTTCGTGAACCAGCTTGCTTTCCAGTACATGGCCGGTGACCTTGACCGGGAAATCCTTCCCCATGCGATGATGAAGATCGCATAAGTCGTGAAATCACACCTAAATGTACAGCAATTGTGGAATCGTATCGGCCTGTTACGAAAATGAGCTCCAACTGATCCGATTGCGCCAAGTCAGTTACGAAGGGTTATTATCAAAAGCCAATTTCAGAGAGAACATGAAGACCAAAGGAGGGGTAAGTCAGGCGATCTTTCCAGGTTGTTTCTTTCTTTCTTTCTGTTTTGACAGTTCGAAAGTTACAATCGCTCAAACGTTGAGGATATGCATAATCTCAAAATCCTTCGATCACTTTGGCAAGTCGTCATTGCCAGTGTTTCCATACAGCATTTACGTGAGGGAATATCTTCAGTACGTGCATTCTAAGGGTTGTTTAACCAGTCCAGTGGTGATGTTCATCCTTATCAAACATGAATCTTCGGGTGTCTCATTCCTACATCTGTCATCTGTCAAGAACGTGCAGTCCATACACAGAGGGATTTAGGGAGATTAGATCGGACGACCTAAACTTCGGGCGGCTCTGCTTGGCTATGCAAACGCGCATCCTATTTTTTCGGATCTTTGATTGCTTCGCCTTGCATGATTTAAACTTCAGAGATGATCGCTTGTTGTGGACGGTACCCTGAACCTGGCCAATCCCGGCGTGGAATCTAGAATTCTAGCCTGAGTTGTGTTCATGGATACTGATGAATGATGATCGAGACTTTGGGGCTGTGGGTGTAAGCAATTAGTCAAACCTCAACTCAGAGGGGTCGGTTGAATATCCAGCGGCCAACGCGGATACGGACAGTAAGAATACCTTCAGCCATGATATAATGATCATCTACTTGTGAAAAGTTTCAAGTATAAGTACTCTGTGAGGATCCGCCCAATCCACCATCCTCCTCTTCTTCATCTCATCCAGCATCATCTTGGATTCGATTAAACAAGCATCTCTTTCCGTCAACACATTTCAGATTTTGCTTCAACTCCATTAGTATTCTTTTCGCCTCCTCACTATGCATATCCCGTCTTTCCGTCAGGCTGCCACCGTTGGCATGGCCGTCTATGCCATCGCCGCTATCGCTGCTCCAGTCGCTGAGCCTGAGCCCATTGATGCAGCTGAACTTACGGAGGTGAGTAAACCAATTCGGCCTACGGCTCTGGAGATCTTCGTTGCTAACAACCAGGTGATTAGCGTGCTCCCGAAGCAGCTGTGAGTGGAAATTTTGATTATTTGTCTCTCGATTCCATTCCTTGGTGAACATTATTCGCTGACCTCTTTTCTCATCAACAGCCCAATGGAGACGTGTTCTCTGTAGGTTCATACTCATCAAGAAAAAGGTTCGCCAGTACTGACGATAAGAAAGACTCTTAGTGATGCTGTCGTCGCACGCAACGAAGCTAGCATGAACGATGATTTGGAGGCACGCGACAACAAGAAAAACGAGAACAAGAATGATCGCGATCGAGATGGGTATCGTAACTGCAGGCGAGGGGGGAGAGGAGACAGAGACAAAGATTGCAACGGATACGGCGGATATGGCGATGGCGATGACTACAACTCCTACGGCAACGGGCATGGAGGTCAAGGCGGATACAACGGTGGATACGGAGACAATGGGTACGGTGGTCGTGGCAAGGGAGGTCATGGCCAGCAAAAGAACGACAATAAGGATGATCAGCAGAACGGAAAAGATCTCGGCAAGCGTGGAGATGAAGGAGATTATGGCCAGGAGGGCGGCGAAGGAGGATATGGTAACAAGGGCGGTGGCTATGGGAAGGGTGGTGGCTATGGAGGTGGCTATGGAGGCAAGGGAGGCGGTTACGGCGGCGGCGGCGGCTATGGAGGTAAGGGAGGTGGTTATGGCGGCGGCGGCTACGGCCACGGAGGAGGATATGGTGGTGGCGGTTATGGTCATGGAGGAGGATATGGTGGAGGCTATAAGAAGGGCCCGAAGAAGGGTCCCTGGCGCCGCGATGTCGAGAACTTTGGTGGTCCCGACCCTTGGGATTTCTACGACAACTGAGCACCATTTCGAAGTCCTCGCTGAACGGATGGTAAGACGCTTCTGGACAGGTCGCAGATTAGTTTCTCTTTTGACCGGTTTATTTAACTGCTACGGAGGAAATTTGGCAAAAACATCTCGGGTTTAGATTCTCTGTATATAGTTGAATTTCAATCTTGATTCTTTCTCAAAATACATCCAAGTCAATTAAAACGGATGATACAAGCTTGATTCTCCGGCTAGGTTCCCATCATGCGGAACATACCAAATGGATTGCCTTGAATCGTGCTTAACAAGCTAAGTATGCTGCATTATTCGTTGGAGTCAAAGTCATAGGCCACACTGGTTTGGTTATCCTGTATATGCAGAGTTTATTGCTGCTCTCGAGGCGGCGATGGATGGTATCGACGTAGTATGGTGATGACATCTTGATATTGAAGGAGTAATGGGTTATGGTAGCGTGAAGAGGAAGATACCTGCCCCTTAGTGATTCGCGCTCTCTTTATACACCCCCATAGGTAGCTATAGATGTTTCTCTCCTAGGCTATCCTAGCCCTCGAATATTTCCCCGTGAGAGTTATACAGCAGTTAACAAGGTGCGCCTCCAGGCGGCAAACTCCGAAGAAAAAGTTAGAAGGGAAGAAAGATATGCAGAGTTTGTCGACCATGGTTGGCGAATTCTGACCAGTAAGGCGCACTGCTTGATAGATTTGCGGGGTTAGGATCAAGATTGATAGTGAATGCTGCATCGTATTCTCACAAAGCACAAGCGAGGGTAACATTTCCGCCAAACAACGTACTGCCCAGAGTAGAAGTTCCATCAACTGTGTCAGATGCTTTTAGTAGTATGCGCAGAACTATCAGGAAGGAGAGAACTCACAGCTAGCGTCCTTGGACCACAAGTATGATGCCGTGGCCCCATGAAGTTGTGTGCCAGCCTCGAATACCACTTTGAAGGCTTTCTGTCCAGCGTCTATGTAAGCTTCCACGATTTTGGTTGACGGACAGTCGACCACTGAGGCCCCAAATATAGCTTGTCTCTGAACTCAAGGCGCGGAGACATCGAAGCCTCCTGTCAAAGCCTCGAACCAACTAGCTGATTTGATCAGGGATCCATTGTACACAGGGCACTTGTAGGATACAGGTCCACAACCTTTTTAATGATTGAGTGAGGAATAGCTTGCCAGATGGCCTTTAGATCGGCAAAAAGCTATTCGTGTATCGATAGACTGACAGAAGTGAAGTACGGTCCCTCAAACATGTCGCAGTCGACACCCACAGGTATTTTGGTAAAATCCTTTGTTGAAGTGTCGAGCTTTAGAGAACACAAATTTGAAAATTCCTCGAGGGTATCAACAATTCACGACAGAGTCCCTTGTCAACTCCTCGATGTTCCCTGTGGTGAGATATTTTGATTTCTATGATGAGAACACCGAAGTAGGATTTCGCACATTATTTCGTACTCCGTACGCTATCCGGCTACGTCGACTCTGACCACTACACAGCTCCTCAAAAAAGCAAGCTTCATAATTAAGGTATGGATTCCAGACCCAATCGTACAAGATGGCGTATCGACGTTGGCTTCCGTAAAGACAGGTGTCCCGAGATCCAGATTAATCAAAGGCGGTACGGTAGGTAAGACGCAAAGTCTACAATACGACAAACCTTTGCGGCCCTGGCTGGACAGCTGCCTTGAAAGTTGACCAGTAAGATTGTAGATAAGGAACACCGCCCACGTCCAAAGCTCAAAGGCTTTCCCTCTTCCCACAGCCATATTGAGTTAATAAGTATCATGATAGTTACGCACTTTGTTAGCGCTTCCATCGAGAAGCACCCCCCTTGGCTGATTTCAGGCTCTAGCTGGCGAGACCGGGTTGCGATGTATAAAGACTAAAGGAGATGATCTCATACCTATCGTCTTTTATCTCAGATTCGGAAGCTACCTAATGACAATAATTATTCCTGACCAAGTAACTTTGCATCAATATATAGAACTCGTCTCTGCCTACGGAAAGGTAGAACAAACATCTGCAACCCTAATTGGAGGGAAACACTGCGCCTCCAGCCGTGGCGAAAAAGGTCTATGCAACCTGCATATTAAATTGAAGGCCAACTCACAACCTTGATGCGCCTGTGTCCATACGCAAGTCTGAATGCAACGCCCACTTAACTTCAATTCTGAAGTTTGCCGTGAAAGAACTTGCAAACGCCATCCACCATTATCTCTGCTCACCTTCAGACCGCTGACCTTCACCGACAGAATGGTCCAAAGCCAACATATACAATATCCTCCAAACCCTGCTATCTTGCAGCACCAACCGCCGAGCGGTTCAACGCCGGTACATAGGTACTGCCAGAGAAAGTGGGAGTTTTCATTGGGCGAGCACCTCATCGTCCACAATATCCTCCAGGGTTGCTGGAACTGCATCAAATTCACCGCCTTGACTCGCAAACGACTGGACTTTTGGACATGGCTGGGATCGGCTATGCAAGTCTTTGGGAGAGTTGATTTGGGCGTGGTGAATTTTATGCGGGAGATGGACCCGGTGTACGATGCCGAGCACGACGATGAGGTACGCCAGCTAAGGAAAACAATGCGCCAACGCTGGCCTGTCATCGAAAAGCACTTTGGCTGGATTTTTGGCTTCACTGTCGACGGCGTCAAACTCAGTGAGCTGCAGCCCGTAGTAGAACAACACTCATATACCATCACAAACACCCAACCGAACGCAATGGTCTCCAGGACGACGGATATGCGTATTTCTGTGGCTGCTCCGCCCTTCAGCAGGGATGAATCCTTGAAAATGGAACTGGACCAGTTGGCGCTCATCATGGAGAAGAATCTGACGGATGCTGATGCTCGAGCTGAGATTGCATTGTTTCCAAACGTCAATCGTGGGTTCTAGACCACGGTATTTGACCTGGGTACCCTCCTACCATCCTGATATCTGACTTGGGACGCAGGATGTCGGCCTATGTGTACCTCTTGTACGAAGCTGGGGAGGAAGTGCGTGCTTTTCACATCGCGGAAATCCCCGACCACGGTATCGAAGAGGACATGGCGATACAACAATGATAATATGCATTGTGGCCGACAGAAGTTCAATGAAAGGAACTCAGAAGGCACAGCGATGGAGGTATATCATACATCAAGGAGTGTCGTTAGATCGCCTAGACTGGCAGGCTCTCCTAGAATGTCCCAGGATGACAGCATCAGCGTCTGGAAATATTGATTATGGAAGCTACGAACGATTGAGCTTACTTATGGGACGAGAATTTCCTCGCATTCTTGTGATAGCTTGTTTCACGCTGACTTCAACATTCTTCCTACGCCACCCCTTTCCGGAATTTGGCACTCCATTAAGACTCAGTGTGTCCTGTCGGTGAATCAGCATGACGTTGACCACCTCCCACGGACTCATAAATCTAGAGGCGCTGGTGGAGAGCTCTTCGCTTGAGAAGCAGTAAGCAACGCTGCAACGGAAAGGAGTGCAAATTCGTACTCGTGAGAGAGCCTCTGCCGATGATCTTGTGGCATCAAGATGCTTCCCAGCCATGGCTCTGGATCTCCACCTTCGGTCTGAACCACTCCTGTAGTACCCAAACGTACAGGGTGTGGCCCATTCACTTCCCGCAACGTTGGGGGCCTAAGAGCACCACTCTTGTCGTGAAGAGTAAGCTTGAATTTTCCAATGTGTGTGCGTACTCGAAGATGATATCCGGGTGTATCGTCTTCATTAATCTCAACACGTGCTTCCAAAGTCGATTGGCGAACTCTGTCCGATGGCCCGTTCAGCGGAGGGAATCCGATCCAGTCCCCAGGGTCGTCAAGTCTGACAGCTCCAGTCCAAGGCCGAAGCGTCGTCATCGTGGTGACGGCCCGAGTCGCGGGATCAACCTCCTCGAATACCACATCGGGAATCCAGCACCCCAAGACCTCGACCTTACGCGAGAACGCGTCCGTCGAGACGGAGTTGGCAATCATCTTGCAGAATACGCAATAATCGCTTCGATGGACGACCTCCAGAAGCGTTCCGAAGTGCCAATCAGGCGGGAGGCTCTCCATTCGCTGTTGTCTTTGCGCCCTCATCATTCAGAGCTAATGTGAGTGAGATGCCAGCACTTTCGAACGAAGAAATTGAGAGAAACATGTGTGGTCGCTTAATTCTTGATATCCATAATGGGTAATGAGCTGATTGATGTACGGCTTAAATCGAATTCTTCTCCTTCGCCAATCCCTCGGCCAGCGCGGCAGCAACATCATCAACGGTCTCCCCCCTGGTCCTCTTTCCAACCATCTCGGCACCCAACACAGCATCATCTGCCATAGCCTGGTAAAGCTCAGCCATGACTCTGAAGATGTCGGCCTTATTCTGGAAGCCACCCTCATCACGGTGAGTATCCGAGATCTCTTCCATCTCACGCACCCAGCGGTAAGACTTTGGCGGCACCAAGGGAATAGACTTCTCGGCAAAATCAAGCAGTCCAGGCGCGGCCTCCTTCATTTCTTTCCGCAGCTCATCAACAACCCCGAGTGCCGAAGCAGTCGTGAACGCCTGGATCCCAAGGCCCATGAAGCCCTTCGTCGTGGTCGCGAAGCACATCTTCAATCCGCTGGCTGCGCCGACCTCCGGGGAGATGTGGCGCATGTTCAGAGTCTGGGCGAGCTCGGGGCACGCCTCGTTGAGAGAGTGTTTTCCGGAGGTCGGCATGCTTGGGACGTACCATGTGCCGTTGGGGTCTTTCTGTTTCGGTGGGCCGCCGATGATGCATCCGTCGACGAAGCGGACGGGGCTCTTGGCCTCTTCGAACATGCCTGCGATCTGCTTGCATGTAGCGGGCGAGACAGCGTTGAGGTCCGTGAAATACAACGGCTTATCGAGCTTTTCTGCAAGCGAAGCCTTGAGGATGCGCTGGGCGATGCTCATGGCGTCCCTCGGCGGCGCGACGGAGAAGATGAAGGGTCGCGACTGCACCAGGTGGAGGTCAGAAGAGAGGACCTCGACATTGGCGCTTCGGGC